GTGTGGAAATAAGTTATTAGTGATCAGTGTGATTTACCCTTGGGTCTCTCCCCTCAGAAATGGTCATAATTTCAGACTCTGGGGTTTGCTGGGCAGGCTTCTCTAGCTGAGGCCATGAAAAGATCTATTCTGAGTCCTTCTAGGTTAGTAAGGGTGTGGCTGGTTTTGTTACCTTTGCCCTGTATAACATGTGAATTGCAGTGGCCTTGGTCTGGAGAGAGTGGTTTGTCCTTGGTTAGATCACACACATCCAATTTAATACTTGGCTTTCCATTACTCTTTCTCCCAGTTTTGCCTGCCTCTTAACTTTGGATTCTTAGCTTTAAATATGGACGACTCAGAAATGGGTATTTGGATGCTGCTCTGTGTTTGTTCCTTCCTGTGCCCTTTCATACATGAGATTTTGTTTATTGGCTACTCCTGTTCCATATCCTGCTGTTCCTTGCACAGATGCTACCAAAATAATCTTTATAAAACTTGATTTCTTAGTTTTGACTCCTCAAAAATAAGACTACTTGGTAATCTCAGTGGTGGCCTGTAAGTGTTCTTAATTAGAACTCTGTTCTGTAAACTCAACCAAATTTATATATTACAAGTGTATTACATGTTACTACTTTATACTAGTTATGTGTAAATAAAATCTTGAGTTCCTACAGCTGAAGCTTTATCTAACCAGTGACCTTGATTTAGGAGTCCTGTTACAAAGTTGCTTCTCACTGTAGGACTTTGGGCAAATAATTTAACCACACTCACTGGACCTAAATGTATATTAATCAACGTAAGGATTGAATTAGATCAGAAGTTGTTTTTTTTTTTTTAAGATTTTTTTTTTTTTAACTCATGAGAGACACAGAGAGAGGCAGAGACACAGGCAGAGGGAGAAGCAGACTCGATGCAGGAAGCCCGACGGTGGGACTCAATGCCGGGCCTCCAAGGATCATGCCCTGGACTGACGGTGGCGCTAAACCGCTGAGCCACCCGGGCTGCCCAGATGAGAAGTTTTCTAAACCATTCTATGGAATTGTTTGGAGTGGGGATGGGAATGACAAGGCTCAGTAGGTGGGACCCCAGGCTCTGCATTCCGTCTAATGATTCTTTGATTATTGAAGGCTTTTGCTATTAAAGGAGTTGGAAAAGCACTGCCTAGATAGTCTGAGATTGCCTCCAGTTCTGCCATTATGTGATCCCTTCCAGCAGTAGCATCTACTTTTACATTACATTAGACTAGGATACCTGTAATACAAGTAGGCCCAAAGTCAGGGCACTCCGCATCATCTGCAGTCAGTTCCTGTTGTCACCGAGGCCCTGGGCTGGCCATTCCAGTGCCCTTGTCCTTTTGCTTCTGTTCAAACTGTTCCCAGCAGCACATGGAATATAAGCATCCTTTCCCTGATATTCAGTCCTTTCCAGTCTTCAAAAGACTGGAGTGTAAAAACATCCTCTCCTTTCAGGAAACCTTTCCTCATGAGTGGTCCGGGTCTTCCCAGAGTATCTTCTCCACTCTAGTGGCTCAGTATGCTTGGCCTTTTGGCAGTTCTGTGTATGTGTGTAAAGCTCAGAGGGGCGGGACCTTAGTTTCTTAATTCTAAATCGCCCCAGTGGCTAGCATTGTGCCTGAAAGTGCTGTGGATCCATCACAGGGCTCAAAAACTCTTTTCTCTTTCAGGATCGAATCATCAATTTAGTTGTTGGCAGCTTAACATCCTTATTGATTCTAGTAAGTATCTTTATTTTGTGTCTCACCCAGGCTCTTAGCCAAAGTTTTGAAAGCCTCAGTATTGTGGTTCAGTTTAACACTCAGAAAAAAATATTTAAAAGGCCAGTACGTGAACACGTGAAGTATTCTAGTCATAGCCTAGTATTGTTTTATAACTGCTTGAAGAAAACTGCATTTGGCAACAGGAATAGATAAATTTCTACCTTCACCCCCCAGATAAGTATATGAAATAGCACATGGCAAGTAAGTAGTTTCTCGGTGTTTGCCATGTTTGTCTAATAAATCTGTAACTTGTCAGTGGCACCAGCAATTCTCCTCTGTATATACCCCACAACTCCCCATTTCTGCTAATACCTTCTTCTTTTTTTTTTTTGTTCCTAAAGCCTATTATCCTTTGGTTTAAAAAGATTATTTAGTCATGTAGTCATTCTTCATCCTATATAATGTAGCTTGTTGCTACTGCTGTAAAATGAAAACAAAGCTATAGTTCCCACAGTGTGAAAATGGCATTTTTGTACCACAATTTTATTAAATCTGAGAATTTTAGTGAAGTTCCATTGATTTTTTTTAAATTTTTTTAAATTTATGATAGAGAGAGAGAGAGGCAGAGACATAGGCAGAGGGAGAAGCAGGCTCCATGCACCAGGAGCCCGACGTGGGATTCGATCCCGGGTCTCCAGGATCGCGCCCTGGGCCAAAGGCAGGTGCCAAACTGCTGCGCCACCCAGGGATCCCGGATTTCTTAATGAAAAGAATTCTTTTATCACAGAATGCTTTTCTGTGGTAGAAGCAGAACTCCAGTTATTAGAAACCGATCTCTCAGTTATTTTCCAAAATGTTCAGCAAAAACCTTTTTGGTTTTAATTTTTGTCGGCATATTCAAAGTAATGTTAACAAAGTTTAGAACTTTACCCCGTGTAATCCTTAATCCTGAGAATGACATTTAAATGCTTTGTAATCTTTTTGTCAAGGGGTTGTTTTGAGCTTAGCTATGTTTATGAGCTATGATGTTTTCTGTCTCCTTTGTTAGAGGAAAAGGATAGAAAAAGGAAGTATTAAAAGAAGTAACATACTGGAACAGATTTAGAAATCCTTCACTAAATATTAACTTTGCAGAAGGCAACCTGGGGGGAAAGATACTGTTTTACAGTGTGAAGTGGTTTGTTTGTTTGTTTGTTTATTTATTTATTTATTTATTTTTTATTTACTCATGACAGTCACAGAGAGAGAGAGGCAGAGACACAGGCAGAGGGAGAAGCAGGCTCCATGCACCGGGAGCCCGATGTGGGATTCGATCCCGGGTCTCCAGGATCGCGCCCCGGGCCAAACACAGGCGCCAAACCGCTGCGCCACCCAGGGATCCCGTGTGAAGTGTTTTTTAATAGGACATTGCTTAAATTCTAGTCTAACAGAGTGTCAGAATTACTCATAAGGTCTGACACAATTTCTTTTCATACAGGTAACACTGATCAGTGCTTTTGTTTTCCCTCAACTACCTCCAAAACCGCTGAATATATTTTTTGCTGTCTGCATCTCTTTGAGTAGTATTACTGCCTGCATACTTGTGAGTACTATTTAGAATTTAAATTGAGTATCCTTGAGAGCTGAAAGCTGCAGTGGCTATTTAGGACAGATTCCCAGCCTTGGCTCTGTAAGAAAGGGTAGGTCTAATTACCCACCCGCACCTTGCCACAAGGATGTCAGAAATCTCAGTATTAATTGACAGATTTTTGTTTTTGGAATCAGGAGTTGTTAACTGTAAAGGGTAACTGTTCCTTTGAAAGATTTAAAAAAAAAAAAAAAGGAAGGGGGAAAATAGTTAGGACTGGGATGGTCAAAGCTTTGGTTTAATTTACCTAATTCATATTCCTTCAAGGACTTACTTAGAGGCCCAACAGGATTTGCCAGATGCCATTACTGCTCTAAAGGGAAGAGATACAGCATTCTGGATTAATTTCTAATTACAGAATTAGTCTATTTTAATCTCTATGCGTATCTCCCCAAATGAAAGTAATTAACACCAAGAATCTCCTGGGAAATCTTCAACTGCAGCTGTATCCTTGTCACAAGAATGTACAATTTTACTGTAAAGATGCTTTTCTTTCATATAAAGAAAGATGGTGATATATCCTCACTTAGATATTCGCCAGTTGTTCAGTCATTCATTAGCTGGCTGTTGTTTTATTTCCCTTGAGGAGCAGTAGAACCAAAACTATAAACCCTTAAAAGTAATAGTTTTGACTCACATAGGGCTTAAATCTCCATTGCAATGTGTTTATCTAATTAACTTATCCTGCTCTACTCTTATGATATTAGGAAGACTTGTCCCATCCACTTCTAGAGCCTTTGGAACAAAGCTACCAGAAAATGACTTTCTCACTCCCAGCCTAAAGCCAGGAGTGACTAACCTGATTTAGTTTTGTATAAAAACTTTTCTTGTATTGGCAATCTGACTCTGTAATATGAACTTAAAAGTTGTTATCCCTTCCAGAACCTAAGAGAGCTGTACCTTTTTACTCAAATATATTTAAAATAGATCTACGAGGTATAAATTCTTGGATGGCTTGTTAGTAATTGGATGACTACTGGTTTGAAGAGAATAAAGGTAGCTGAGAAAGCAGGAATAAGTATGATCTTGGATGTGGAAACTCAGTACTACTAGAACTATAAAGAGAAAAATTACATTCTGGTTGTGGTAGTTTGAGAAATGTAGATTAACGTAAAGACTGTCTCACTTAGGGGGAAAAGTATATATGGATGAAATTGGTCACAGTTGAAAAGAATTAGTTCTATTTAGAAATTTTTATACCAGGTCCAGTGACTACTACTTTAACTCTTATTTAATTCTTCTTCTTTTAGATCTACTGGTATCGACAAGGAGACTTAGAACCGAAATTTAGAAATCTAATTTACTATATCTTATTTTCTATCATCATGTTATGTATATGTGCAAACCTATACTTCCATGACGTGGGGAGGTGAGGCTGCTAAAGGAGAAATACTTACCAGGTGTCTTCAAAGCTATCCATTAGGACTGTGAACAAGAGCTGGGTAAGCTTCTGAAGAATCTCCTGAACAAGTCTGATACATGATTTTCATGTTAATTGTAAATCTAAAATACCCTCTTGCAGGGGAGACCTCGATTGCTTTGCTTTTTCTTTAAGGAGGTGTTGTTGCACTTAAACATTCCAACCCTTAAAGCTCAAATGGCACAAGCAATTTTCACTTTTGAAATTAAAATTTTTTATACTGTAAGTGCATGGCGAAAGGCTATGTAACAATCTTGCATTTTAAGACAAATATTCTTTTATTTCTGTTAAACTGAATATACAATTGTTCCCTAGGCAACCAACTTTTGCTTATAACTACAATTTAATTTCACATTAACAAAACACAGATGGTGAAAAGACAACTTTGATTGTGAAGATCTAATTACAATAATAAATAAAATAATTTATACATGGGCTTTTTTTTTTCCCCCCTGTGACTTTTCTGTAGGGGTCCTGTTCATTAAAGCCCTAGCGGCTAATTTTGGCTTCACCTTCTCTAATACAGGAATGGCTCCTGATTTCTTTCCTTTGATAACAGAAGCAAATTTTGTTTCTTTAAATTGCCTGAGAGGGAGAAGTTATGTCACCCCACCAGCTAACGCACTAAAGTGAAGGGCAGACTCTGATACCTTCCCCAACTATTTCTTGGGTAATTTGTATAGCAAAACATGTAAGAAAGAGTCATGGTAGAGGGTAGGCAACCTTACTTTTCCCATTTAGTTTAATTTTATTTCAAAGTGCTAACTTTGTAAACCGACCATAGTGGGTTCTGAAGGGGTGAAAACTCTACTTAGCTTCTGGTGAGCTGTATTCCATATTCCCTTTAAAAGTAATAAAAAACCTGTAGTGAATTTTCTTAATTCTTATAATGCTTCTCTGTGTACCCAGCCTGAATCAGCTCCCACTGCCAGCAATGGGTAAACCAACAGTAACCGCCACACAATCCCCTCCTCGATCTCTGTATGTGTATGCTAGTAACCTCTCAAACTAAAGATACTTATAACATTTTTGAGGGTCACTGGTAAGCTCTACACCATGTTGATGGGATGTTTCTAGAACAGGCCAACTTGAGATGGGATAGAGCCATGTCTGATCTTAAGAGAGATGAACATTACTGCTTTTAAAACACAGTTAAGCTTTGGTGATTGTAAACTTTTCTCAGTAGCTGAAGTGAATGAAATTCCCTGCTGACAGTTAACATGAACCACAGGGATGGACGCAGTTAAGACGTCCATACTCAATTCACCTACCCACAAGACTCCTAAGACTAGACCTCAGATGGTATATTTAAAGGAGGTAAAAAGTCATAGCAGCAACACTGTATGTGGCTTATGCACTGTAGCTGTTTAAAAGCCAAAGGAATGGTGAATTTAAGCCTCTTGCGAGTTGCTCCTATTTCTTTGGAGATGTTGTAATTAACAGTGTGGCTTCTTTGCCTGAGCTACCTGTCTCTTTTTAAGAATTACCTAATGACAGTTGACCAAATCCTCAACATCCTTTGAGTCTTCTGAAACAGGACTGCCCAAAGATGATCCAATGATATTTGATTCTTCTCGATGATGTTGGAGTATGGGATCTGTAAGGAGTTAAGTGTAAAGTTAGTTTAACATATATGTACTCTAATCCATGTCAAGAATGTACAGTAAGTACTCTACCAAAATTTAACAAGATGACTACTGTTGGATCCAGGAGCCTGATTTTCCCCTTAAGATTTATCAGGCACATGACACAGTTATGTTACAGTACCTGTTAGTGTTGTCAAAGGCAAGACAGATTCAGTATCTATAACATCCGATGCCTGGATAAAGCCATGTGGTGAAGGAACAATAAGTATGGTTTCATCATCAATGGTTGTTTGATCAACTTGTTCTTCTATGGTAGGAGACTCTAGATCCTAAACAGCAATTAAAAAAAAAGGGGGGGGGGAGGGTTCGGACTCCTATTTTAGTTTTCCTTAAGATTCCAAACACATTTAGGTTTAAAAGGACTTAGTATTCAAACACTGTCCCATTTTATAAAGACAAGAAAATTAAAGCCTAAAAATGGACAAATAGAACTTAAGCAATTCAGTTACAGGTCCCCTGAACATAGAAGAAATAATGCTGCTACACTGGGGTAAGTAAGGTTGCTAAGCTGCATCATGGAGACTTACTACTAAGCACTCTCTTAAAAATGTTCTAGCAATTCTCAATTTATTGGAAGGGTAGGTAGGGGGAAAGGTTTTAGTACTAAGGCTAAGCACTGCTATCTCATACTTGTGAGGTCACAGGTAGGGTTTACATTTGATTTTTTGTCTACTGAGAGAAGGTAGGTAATGGAGGACACCACCCCTGTCCCCCTAAATCATTTCTAGGCTTTTTCCAAAGTGAAGGTTTAAGGCTGAGGGTGAGAACCCAGAGGCCATTCCCTTAATTGCAACTTACCTCAGTAATGTAAGCACGGGCTAAAGGAGAAGATGACTCCTCCTCTTGTTTAAGGTCGCTGTCAGAGATTTCTTCTGTTCTGACCATAACATTATTCATCAGTTCTGTGCTATTTTGGTCACTGAATTTGGATACATGGCCATCATTAAATGATGGCTCTACAGTTATCTTAGGCTGATGAATTTCATCTGGGAAAGTGTCTGCTTCTAGGGCATCTGGAGGCTCAGGAAAATCAGATGAGTGAATATCACTATCTACTGTCAGTTCTGCTTGGGATATGGAAGAAGTGATATCCTCAGTGGCAACAGTCTGAATGATGACTCTCGGTGTGTGACACTGTACTGTGACGTTATCACTTGTGTTCAACAAATGTTCTGGCTATAAAATGTTAAAGAAAATGATCAGTGGCAAAATGAGAAAGTCCCTACCAGACTTGAGTTACAGGTGACAGATCCATTTATAGGTGGTCCCCCTCTCCTCCCCCCCTCCCCCATCCGTTCACCTCTGGAACTGCAGTGTTCTTAACTGCTGTTTTTCTAGACCCCCCCTCCCCTATCATTTCCATTTCATGTATGGAGACCCATGGGATAAGGGTTATACCCCATGAAGATAAACTGATGGTGTAAAATTACGTTCCTGAGATAACAGAGGTAGGAAAAATTATTTAAATAAATGGACTCTATTAGTTCTGGCTCCTAGACTTTGTATCAATTAATTGTGGTCCCTAACAGATCTTCAAATACTTAAACAGTACATAATCCGTTTTCCCCCTAGATTGTTACTAAAGGCACATAAATTCTATCATAGAATTAAGTGTCACCAGAAGCTTTTTGTTTTTATCAGCTAGTCTTCTCTACAGAAACTAGGAAAAAAAAAAAATCAAGGAATTGATGTAACATACAGACAAAGCATGAACAATGATCTGTTCGGGAGAAGCAGGAGCAGCAGCAGTCAGGGTTACTGTGGGACTAGCTGTCAGAGTGAGGGGAAGGCCTTGGCTTGAGCTTGTTTGAAGTAGGTAGGTACCTGGAGTGCCAGTGGGCTGTAAATGGAAAGACTAAAGGAAAAAAATTAATATCAACACAGGTGCGCAACAAACTACTGAGTAAGTATGCTTACTTATTAAGTGTAGCTTTATATCCAAAAAGGGGACTCCAACTTTCTAGCCACAAATGTACTTCCCAATTCCAAAGGTGCCGTCACGTAACAAAATAAAGGGTAGTATAACATTCTTGACATGTTCTACGTCCTTATTTGTCTTGGAAATTTAACAGAGGCAAGGCCAGACCTTGGATCCTGCTCTTTGATGCGCCCATGTATGTCTATGGTCTGGTCTTAGCTTTTTATTCCAAGGCATCAAGACATGGTTGCATGAGCCACTGGGTCCAGTGCAGTAACCTACACACCCAGTCTTCCTTTACTGTCTATCTAGCATAGGCAGAACTGGCAGTCTCCTTTCTTTTTAAAAGTTTCACATTTTCGAAAAGGTACCACAGGAGAGTTTACTTACTTGAACCATTTTTTTTTCATAGTATAGTTTTAGGAAATTTTTTTATATTGAGAAATGTACAGATAGGAATTCTTTTTCATTCAGAATACTAATGGCTATTTGAAAAGCTGGTTAACTCATAAGTTTATCTCAAAGTGTTTTACAGAACTACAATAAAACTATACACCAATAAGTCTTTCACAGCCATAAGCTTCTATATGATAATTTGAGTTCAGTTTATTGAGTTCAGTTTATGCTACTCGTTGCCCCGTCCCCCCAAGGGACTTTCCCCCAAGGGAAAGTATTTGCACTTAAAACAAAGGGTGATGTTAAAGTCCTAGAGCCTGTGGTCTTATGTACTGAAGTTACAGCAGCTCTCCTGGTACCAGGCTCAATGAATCCATGTTTCCTCCTAAAGGAGGCCTAATCACTAACTCTCAGGGAAGGGGTTGTGAGCATTACAAATTACAAAAAAATGGTGCCTGGCACATAGTAGGACTCAATTTTTTTCCTCCCCATAAAAGTAAAAGCTGATTGTTTACAAACACAGCTTTTAGTGAATTACATGTAGTCAGACAGTAAATACTTGACATATAGATGCATTCTATTAAATGGAGTAATGCTCACGATTTTTTGAAACTGAGGCACTACTAATCTTCCTTTACTAATAAATTAGGATAGAAGTCTCTATCTGTGACCAAAATAAGTAAAAACCTGAACACAGACTCTAAATATATATAAACATATTATCTGGCCAGGGGGAGGAGGGGAAGTGGCCAAATAAAGGTTTCTACCTGTGGCAAATGGTTATTACACATCCCTATTTTGGAGACCACAGGATTAGGAAGTGGAAGCTTAGATTAAAAGTTGCTAGTGGAAGTTCCAAAGTTGTTCTAAAAGAGAACCTTTTGCCATGTTGGACATCCTCATGAGATCTGGCTGTGCAAAGGATAACATCCCTATGTTCTTCACAGCAAATAAACCTTGACATAATTGAAATAAAACCTACTTTAGATTTTCTTCCTAAAAAAATGAACTAATTCTGGGTATTACCTATTTAAGAAAACAGGACAAGCACTGGGACTTAAAAGTTTTTCTATGACACCCAAAACAAACTCCATTCAGATTAGCAATTTTGGTCCCTTTCTCCCCAAAACCTCTTAGCATAGGCAACCATTAAATCTGTTTTTTTTCTATATAGATTTGCCTACTTGAGACATTTCAAATAAATGGGAATCAAACAGTAGATGGTATTTTGTGGCTAGTTTCACTTAGCATAAGATTTTCAGAGTTCACTCTTGGAATATGTATTAGTACTCTGTTCCTTTTTACTGTTGAATAATTGTATGGCTACAACACATTTTATTAACCCATTTGTCAGTGGACCGACAAGTGGGTTGCCACTTTTTGATTATTAGGAATAGAAACGTTCATATACAAGTTTATGCAAACTTACTTTCATTTCTCTTAGGTATACCTTGGATTAGAATTGGTGGCTGCAATGTTAACTATACTGTTTAACCATTTTAGGAACTGTAAGATTTTTTGTAAAGTGGTTACACCTCATAGAACTGGGACTTTTATATTCTATATCCCCAGGGCCAGTACACTAAATTTGATTATATATGTTATTTGTTTATGACTAAATACAAGTCCATAGCATGCACTTTACTCATTAAACCCTGTCACTTTCATATATAAAAAGCACATTTATTGCTTTAAGCCTATACAAAGAGTGAAGTACAAAAGTGAAAGTCTTATTTATGTTATCTTTTAACCACATGGCGTCAAAAACATGGACATAGTTGCACTTAATGCCAATGTTTTTATTTCCTTTGTTCATATGATAACAGCGCTAAAACCAATCCTTTTTCTTATGCATAAAATGACCAATTTCTATTTTGTGAAGTGTTACTCACTGGAAGAATCTCAAATGCCTGTAGTGTTCCACTGTTTAGTGTTATTGTTTCCGAGTCAACGGTAGCAGCAGGGGACTCTGATGAAGCTGTGGTAGGAACAATGATAATAATAATAAAATACAGTCTCAAACTGAGTAATTTGCCTGGAAACCTGAAGTCATTTAAATTTCTTAGAAGAAATCTAATGGATTTACCTGGGATGGCATAGATCAGGGGTTGGCAAACTATGGCTTACATCCAAATCCAACCCACAACCAGTTTTTGTAAATAAGGTATTATAGGAACACAACCATACCTATTTATTTTCCACAGTTGCTTTTGCACTGTAAGGGCAGAGTTGACTAGCTGCTATAGATACAATATGTGCTAACCCCTGGTATAGATCACATAATATTTCTAATATTAGGAAGTAAGAAGAATACACTAAGGCTAACTTACAAGTCAATAGCAACTTGGTAAAAAAATAAAAAATAAAATAAATCCTGGGCATTCTGGTCAGCAGTACAGATGACTGAAATGGTCCCTGAACATGAGGCTTCAGTTCTACCAGTATTACTCTTGAGCAATATAAAACTGAAAAAACAGCTTGCTCTGAACCTACTAATGTTCAGAGACTTATCTGTCCTGTTTACTTCATGTAGTTGTTGGGAGGAACCACAAACATGGAATGTAAGAACACATTTGGGAGACTGATCGGTGCTTTAAAGATCACAAAGTATCATCTCTTTATAGGTGGGTCAGTTGAGGCTTTAGTGTTGGTTACACCTGACCAACATTATAAGGAACTAAGACTAGACAAAATGCGATCTCCTGGTGCTTTCATTTGCACCTGTATATGAATCCATGTGAAAAATGATTTGGAATTAACTTTTAATGTGCAGTGTTTATGATAATTCTAAGTTGGAAAAGAAATGAGACACCTTTCGAAAGACATATACTTGATTCATGTTAGTATTTCTCTATTTGATGATTCCTAAGATCATACTTAGAATAATTTAAAGTGATTCCAGATAAATAACCTTTGTCATGGTTAAGCAAACTATGGGCAGGGACAAATGTGGCTCAGGACTAAGAATGGTTTTTACACTTTTAAAAGATTGATTAAAAACTAGAAAATTCCACAAAGACCTATGGGCTGCAAAGTCTAACATGTTTGTTTATTATTCTGGCTCTAAAGCTTGCTAGTCCCTGACTCCTACCAACATAAAGGAAGAAACAAACATGAAATTTTAGCCTGAATGTAAAGAATAACTGATACAATGTAAAACTCTTACTAACATTTCTTGCTGGAAGAAATAAAATCATTCTACATCTTAAAAAAAGGCTATCCTAAGGTACCAATTCTAAAATGTCTGCATTCCCACAAAGTATAGTAACCCAACAGCCAGGGAAAGTTCTAACAATCTCTGTGCACAATCTATAACCAACAGTAGCTCTCACATTTATGGCGGATCAGTAATTTCAGGTTCTTTTGCAGTTCTTCAGGCTATAAAGTTAAATAAGAGCTAAAGAAATTCTTCATGTTTTATTAGATTGGTAGGAAGCTAAAGCAAATAACCAAACTTAAATTAGAACTTTAAAGACAGGCATGATTACTCTTAAAGGTCTCCAAGGAAACTTTGACAGTCACTGGATATGTGGATAGTGTGTCACCACCACCACGAGAGCAGTGATTCTCAAAATGGTGTCATACTGGTCACTTGAAAATCCAGAGGGTGTTTTTATTTGCCATAATGAGGAAGTACTACTGGCATTTTGTGGGTGAGGCAAGGGACAGTGACCATGCTGCAATGTGTAGGACAGCCCACAATGAATTGTCTCACTCAAAATGCCAATAATCCCCTGACTGAGAATAACACACAGCAATTGATATGCTCTTGGCAATCACCTTTCCATAGGCATAGTGTTTAAGTAGACAAAAGAAACGATAAAGTGAAGAATCGTATGGTTCTGAGAATTTTATTTTCATTCCTTTTCTGTTATGGAAAAAAAAAAGTAGAAATATCAACTTGGCTTACTTAGATCTTAGGAAATAAACTTCCCCTCCCTTTTGGGTTCTCATAATCTCATTAAACACAAAAATATCAGAGGCTAAGGAAAAAAAGGATAAACAGGATACTTTCCACAGGAAACTGGTTCTTTACTTCCTGAAGAAAATCTCATTCAAACCCATTTCTTCTACACACAACCTCAAAGCCACCCCCAATTTGAGTGTCTGGTGAATTACTACAAAATGATGTGCCGCCTTATGAACTCTTATTTCTTTGCTCAACTGATTATATTTTAGGTAGCAGTCTATTAATCATTCATTCTTTGTAACATCTAAAAGTAAGATTTAAAATGGTTTATGATGACTGGGCAGTCCTTCCTGTCACACACTCTTTTGTGCAAATATTAATTGAGCTAACAAATATAAAATGCCTTAGACTGCCTTTGTTAACTTCCACAAATTTCTGTCAACATTCTAGAAGAATGAAAGGTATTAGAACCGTTACCAAATCATACAGGTCCAACAGCCAGGAGTCTTAAATGAACACTTACAGACATGGGTGATCTGGACTGGAATCTGCAAGGCTGTCATGGGGCTTGGAGAGATGGCTGTATTGTCTTCCAAGCGGGCGACTCTGATCTGAACATGCTGTACACTGGAATTGGAATTACTGTTTGGAACTCCAGATCCTGATTTATTCTCCAAAAGCGTTGGGTTGTTTTTTTGATTCTCATGTAACTGTTTAAGACCTTTTATTAAGACTGAAGGGAGATGGGTAGACAAAAAGAACATTGATTCTCCGACAGACCACCATCTAAGCAGCAAGGCAGGTGGGGGTAAGGAGGGAAAGTATTTGGAATAAATAATTGTACACTGCATGTGAGATCTCAGCAAAATAACAATAAAAATATTTTAAAGCTATAACCTGTCTGGATATTTTTAGAAACATTATCACATAAAAAATTTTTTAAATAACATAATGTTTTCTTGCCATCTAAGATGCATTAAAAAAGTAGCCATTGTGAGGAACATGAAAATAAGACCTTCACTATGTCCTAGGCCTTCAGGATAAAATTTGGGAAGAATATTGTTAATGCAAAATAGCTTATTTCTCTTTTTAAGTGAACAGTGTACTTCCCCCTCCACATACACAAAGTATTCAAGGAGAATGGACTATTTTAGCTACTGCAAAGGCATCAACAGTTGGCTGTGAGTTTAACTCACAACTCCAGAGTAGCAGCTCATCTTTTCCAAACAGTAATTATGCAACCACCTTGACTTCTTGTACAGGAAAGTCAAATCTAGACTTGCCCCCCTCCACTAGTCATGATAAACTACCAATCCTCTCAGGTGATAACTGCAATCTGGGTGGGTTCATGTGACATTGGTATTCATTCACTCTTCTGGTTTTAATATTCGATTTACAACTGTATTTTTTTTTAAATCTTATTTTCATTAAGCCAGAGTTCTTCAGCGTTTAATTTTCCTTTGGAAAAAAGAAGTTGGAGCATTCTACTAAGGGGAATGAATTTGACTGCCTTAATTAAAGGGATTGTACAACTTCGTTTCATGCCTAGTACAAAGCAGGCAATGAAGGGTTAAGCATGCTGTGCCTCACTTTTAAGACAAACCCAACTTAAGATCTTATATAATAAATTACAAATTTATAGTCTTTGTACTATAAAACCACCAAATAACAAACCCAGTAAAGATACGTGACATTATTCAACACATAAAAGTTGATTTAAACCTAAAGTTTCAGAAATAGAGCTTTGTACACAATATGTAAAATTGTTTTCTTCTTCACAGTTTATAGAAGAAGAATGTGTGCAAATGTGTATACTTTCGTCTTAGGTGCTTTCAATATTACCCATCACCCCCAGCTCTTCTCAAGCGTAGACAAAACAGTTACCCAAAGAGAATGAAGATCTACTAAGATTCCTATCTCTATAGCTGAGGCAAAGGGCTTTGAACCTTTAAGCAATTCCTGAGGAGTAAATATGGTAAGACAAGGGTAGGACTTTAAGGAGCAAATAATACATTACCAGGGAATGAAACATCCTTATGATTTGCAATTTGTCTTTTGATGGTCCACCATTTACTGCGAAGCCACTGTGGTGAGCGGACACTGCTCCATCCCTCTGCTAACAGATCCCAGTTTATGTCATTTTCATCAGCTACATCAAGCTCTGCTATCCTACAGGTTACAAAACAAACGTCTGTTAGATGTTAATTTATTTCTCTGGAAGAACCCTCCTCTGATGACATGCCCTGGCAACAGAGGGGATGGTAGCCTATGTCATGGGGACGCTGCTGCTAGTTGCATGGGAGAGGATTCTAGGAGTGCAGAACTGCTCCCAGAGCTAATAGCGAGGACATAGCACTAGCAAGAGCCTTTTGTTAATGGTACAAGCAACGGGCCAAACCGTAAATGGCCAGAAGCAGATGAAGCTCTGTCAAGGAAAGGGAGTAGCTAAAGGTTAGAACAGGGTAAGAACAGGATTAAGTGTATAGTGTTCTGCAATGTTTTATAGTGTGTTACAGCAAGTTATTGCCTAAATCTGAGCTTTTCCATTTCTATAATCAACAAAAATGTTTAGAAGTGAGCTCCTTTGCAGATGACTAGTGAAAAAGTATACTAAAAACAAAACCTGAGCAGCCCAGGTGGCTCAGCGGTTTAGCGTCGCCTTCAGCCCAGGGCTTGATCCTGGAGACCCAGGACTGAGTCCCATGTCAGGCTCTCTGCATGGAGCCTGCTTCTCCCTCTGCCTATGTCTCTCTCTGTCTTTTGCTCTCTCTCTCTCAGTCTCTCACGAATAAATAAATAAAATCTTTTAAAAAATAAAAATAAAAACAAAAAATAAAAACAAAACCCAAAATAAAATTAAAAAGACAAAAATATTCCAGCAGCAACCAAAACAAAAAACAGCAACGTAATAGTACAACTAAATCTGGGGTATTAATGATCTATTTGTTTTCCAGCTTCAACTGTCATGATTTTGATTTTCAGGAGGGAGTAGCTTTTACTACTTCAGTGCCTCAAACATTTTCTTGCTGCTTTTTTGCCCATTTGAGTCTCTGAGTCTTAATGGTTAAACCAACTATCTTAAAAAAACAGGCTTAGGATTATGATCTTAAAGCTATTTCGGGATATGTGCGAAATGGAAGTTTCTGATTGGGTCCAATGTGAAGGTGTGTGGGTCACTGTACACTGGGCCCCCTCCTTGGCAATCTTAGCACAACAGCCCAAGATTGAAGGGCATGGAGACTGAAGAGCCCTCTTCCCTGCAACTTGGCCCTCTAGGCTAGCATGGAGGCACATTGGTGGGACAGTGGCAGGCTGTAGTACCACTGTGCCATACCTGTTCTGTGGATATACAGAGGACTTCAGTCTCCACGCCTTCAATCTGGTACTTTGCACGAGTACTAAATCCACTAAAAAGGAACAAACACAAAACAAACAAAGAAAAAACTCAATATGAAATGCATAGGATCTAAAAGATCCTCTGTGGATCCTTTCCCTATGGAAAGGATGCTTCTCAGACATTAGGCATCTAGGGAAACCAAAAGGGGAAATAACCTGTAGCCATGAAGCAGTTTTTGTTCATTAAAATATTTAGGACACAAACCTGAGGATGAGATTGATTTCATCTTCCTTGGTCCATTCAGTACCTCCACTCTGTTTCCAGTTCAGGTAGTTGAGCCATTTAGAACGACACTGTTTTTCTGAACGGGTACCCACTCGTTCTGCCACAGCTGCCCACGACACGCCCTGTGTCACTATGTCACCAGGTTCAGTGCTTGTCAATTCATGAACCACTTCTGCAAGTCTCTTTTCCTCATCTTCTGTCCACTTCCCTGAAAGAAGGAAGTCATCTAGACTACTACTGCTACCTTTTGTTTTTGTTTTTGTTTTTTTTAAAAAATCAGATTCAGCCCTGTATTTCCAAGGACTTATGGGAAGTACACAAAAGCACCAAAAGTATTTCTGAATGACTGTGGGGTGGTAAATTGCACATATCTACTAAGACAGTTGCATTTGAGTAGCCCAGTAAGGTTCTTGGTACAAAAGAAAATACAGAATCCTAAAAGAAAACACTGACTGACTCCGGAGAGAAAAACTACCCAGTACATACCTAGGAAGAATTATGTGCTGTCAGGTTGTACTAATCCTAAGTGGGAAGAGCTTCAGGGATGGCTTGACGGGACACAGAAACTCACAATCACAATTTTTCCTGCCTTGCCCAAGATTCCCTGCTCTGCAGAAGTGGGGTAAGTTCAATAGAGATCCTTCATTACAGGAATGAATGATGAGAGGCAAGTGGAATGACTCCCATGGGCTCCTACCCACTTTAGTAAAAATGAAAACCAGGTTTATACCATCTCCTTTCCCCATTATCCCAACTCTAAGATACTGTGATCAAACAGAAGTCTGAGACTGGTGTTCACACATGATTTTATTCCAGGTTTTCCTGAAGCCATAAACCAGTCATGACACCAAATGATCCTCTTGTTTTTTCCTTAAGGAACTCGAGCAGAGAAACAGGAAAGACCAAACTTTTTTTAACTCCTTCTACTTGTTTCCATTTTGTGACTAGCAGCTAAAAGCATCTAGAAAATTTCAGAAGAGCTGTGTGCTTACATCAGGGATTCATTTATTGAACAAATATTTACTGAATGTCCATTATGTGCTAGGCACAGTTGTGGATACCAATATTCAAGGCAAAGTCCTGCTCTCCTATTTTAGCAGGGCAGTACAAGGGGTTCTGTATTCACAGTGCCTAATATAAAACTCTGGGGTCCCATCCTAAATCTAGAGCTCCTTCCTATTCCTGCTTCATTGATTAAGCTGTCATGAATCATGGAATGACAGAATTGGTGGAATTTATGTTTTCAATGTCTTGCAGGTCATAGTGCTGGTGAAATGGTTAAGAGGGAAATACTCCCGGTTCCACGTTAGCAGGGTAGGGAAGAGAAAAAAGAAAATACATACCCTGGAAGCATAAGCTTACCTTGAGAACTATTTTTCTTATTCAAAGACTGAGCACAGATTGTGGCTCCTTTAGAGAATTTTAGGGCTAAAAGGAAACTATGAGATCACCTCTTCTAACCTCTTTATTTGAGAGGAAATTGAGGCTCAGAAAGGTTATGTCAGAGTTAGTGCCAGAGCCTCAATACTGTTGCTGGTCACAAAGGTTAGGCTTAATAGTATCATTAGTATGTTTATAAATATTAAACATTAAATAGGTATTTGTGGTCTGGACTAGAGACTAAAACACTAATGACAAGCTTTGTTGTATGGAAAAATATACTTACTTGTTTGAAATAAGCAAAACAGCCACAGCATTGGAAGATAACTTATGTTGGGATCTGCCTGAACTCAAGTTTTTTATAAACATGAGTTGATAAGCTGTTGTTAACAGAAGCTCAACAGTTAGATGGGCTTAAATTAAAACTACTTCCTGGATATAAGCCTTAGTGATAAGTGCTCTCCCCACTGGCGCAGTTTTGAATTGCTACAAAATGGAAATGGGCTACACCTGAAACCTCTGAAAATGAGGAGCTGTGTCCCTGTAAACAATGTTACTTTACACAAATGCAGAAAAATGAATGATTACTTGGGTCTATAAAGTGTGAAGAAAAAGGAAGACTAGAAAATAAAATGTGAGCTTGAGTGAATGATAAATGTCTTTCCAGAACAGAAAAGAAAGCAGTTAAGTGCAGGGGTGGGAGGCTCCAGTGAGACAGGAGCAGCCCCCAGCAGCACTCACAGTACCTGTGTTGCAAGTATCCTTCATCAGTCGGCACCGATCTTTGACGGAAGACGCGCTTCTTCCTAGCGCCGCCCCTATTGTTGCCCAGTCATTGCCATGCTTTATCCGGAGCCTAAAACAAGAGTCTGCCAATCAGCATTGGGTTCAACTGTTTTCTCCCTTTTAATTTCATCATTTATTCTTCATTCTTCTTCTTCCCATTTGACTGGTTTGGAAGTTGTGGGCAGCAATACTTTGAGAGCCAAAGTTTGAAAGTGTGGCCTTTTTGGGGGTCCACAGTTGTCTGTGGGTGAAAAAAAAACAGGCAGCAATTGCCTTTTTCCTGGGTCAGAGAAGAAATAAGTAACTTGGATATGTGTTCAAAAAAGACCAAATTTCCCCTCAGGTTACTGACATAATTTCCCAGGCAATCCCCAGATTGTACCCTTTTGAGTACTCCTAACAAGCTCTTCTCAGACAACTGAAAAAGTTTCCCAAGCTGCTACCATCATAAAGAGGATCAACTTTCAATTTTTTTCCACGACCCATACAATCCATTAACCCATACTTTATGGCCCCACTCAACCAAGCAAAATTTTTTCCTGTAAAATAGTTTTTAAGGTAGAGTCCACCCAGACATTAAGTGAAACATTTGCCAAGTCGCAGTTCTAAAACTAAGATGTAGAACCCTGGTTTTGATCTTGCTATGTAAGTTTCTGAGATTTAGTCTTCAGGCCACTAAGCATGGCCATCTAATCTGTTCTGTAACTCTATTAGTGGTCTGAGGACACATTTGGCAACTCACAATAGTAGAAGACTAAATTTATGGGCATGGCTACTCTGTGCAGGTATGGATCTGAATAGTTCTTTTTATGGTCAATCATGCTTAATAAAATCTCTTGACATTTTCAAAGTAAAAGTTTAAAAAACGAAGATACTAAAAAAGTTAAAACCCAACTATCAGAATTCATGGAAAGAAAAAAATTTTAAACTTACTCCTTGAGCTTTTCAATTTCTTCAGGTGTATATCTAGAAATTTAAAGACATTTTTAAAAAGATCAATTAAAACAAAGAATACTAAAAAACCTTAATAAAAATCAGAATTTCACTTAGGAAGCCAAATACTAAGTCACTTAGCATTATTGATAATATTTTTAAAATAACCAATTCTAAAGTAAATTACTGAAAATTAAAACTGATGCTTTTATTTTCTCTTTTTTAAAAACAAACATTTAGCTATAATAAAAGTGAGCAATGTACATTTTTCTCTAGGAAAATTCAACATTTAAAGCATACTTGCTTCTATTCTTAGTCTTCCTTTATTTCAAAACTGGTTTCAGACCCTCTAATATCATAGCTATTCTGAAAGACTTATGAATGACACTTATGTAAACCAGAGCTAAAATGCAAATCTATGGTAAATTCTCACAAGGCACCAAAAAATTTAAAACTTCTCTTTATTTCCCCTACCCATGCATGGATATATATCTGCCATATTCTTGCTCCAATATAAAGGCTCTTTTTCTTTAGTTGACAAGTACTCAATACAGTCAATGCAATGTTCTTTTTAGAAAGCATGATCTTATAAGCTACACTATGACTACCTAAAATTCCCAAAGATAAATTAAAACTATGTCAGTAACACTACAGAATCATTGCATTGAAAAAGATGATGCCTTCCCAATCAATATTACCTATAACAGAAATCCACGCATTATATTCAGAAATTTAGTTATTTTTCACTCTGGTTTTATTTAAAAAAAAAAAGTCACTAACCTAGGAAATGCTATAGTATAAAGAAATACATGCTTTAACCAAAAAATGAATAGGAACAATATTACTAATGAATTTAAGAGGGTTTTTTTCCATACACTAAATCTTTAACCACTATAATTTTTTTATAATGTTACTTTATTATAAAGCAGACTTTGATGTATGAAGACAGCTAAGTCTAAAATCTGACATATATAAGGTGATTGAGATACTAATTTCTAAAAGGCCTTGTTATAATGAGATTTCCATATTTATAACATGGACCTGGAGAAAAAAACATTAACACAACAAACAGTAATTTATAACTGTCTCCAATTAAAGTTCTGATCATAACTATATTTTACAAATGATTACTCCTTAAATATTTCCCCTAATTACATGAAAACATGCAGCATTACAGGTTTTCATACTTTCCCACATGGTTTCTGTCATCATACATGCGAAGCACTCTTCTATAAACTGCAAACAAAGGCCGGTTCAGACCCCATGCTATAGTCCTGTAGAAATCTTTTCTTTCGTCTTTTGACATCTCAAAGATGATTTCTGTAGCATCTTTTATTCCGCGTGCCTAAATGGGTTACATTTCTTTGATTTAGGGATTTCTGGTAAAATGCATTTGGATATACTATGCTTTCTAAAAGTTGTTTTTTAATGTTCAAGATCATCAATGGCATTTAGAAAAATAATGTATTGCTAATTCATTAATAAGTCAAATATAAACTTTAAAATGTTTCAAGAGATAACAAAGTGATACTTAAATGTTCCAAAAATGAATTGTATTAAATTCAATAAAGTCAAGTTGTGTCAACCCCTTTCAAAATTATAAAAAGTTAATATTTAAAGAAAGTAGAAAAGAATCATAAGAACAAAATTAATGGACCTAGGAATCAAATAACAGAAATGACAAGCAAAGCTAAATAACGGTTCTCTGAAAAAACTCATTAGGACTAATAAAATATGAAAAGACAGACTATGGCAAGACTAAAAGACAAAACAATATTGGAAATGAAAAAATGGAGCCTAAGTAGAGATGTTAAAGAGATTAGAGAACTGAACATTATGAAAATTCTATGGCAAAAAAAATTGAAAAGTTACATAAAATGAATAAACTCCTAGAAAAAGTCAACTTACCAAAACAGAATCAGGAAGAGATAGAAAATCTAATAAGCACAGACCACCAAGAAAATTTAATCAGTTATTAATAATTTTCTCACAATGGAAATACCAGATCCACATGACTTCACAGGTAAATCCTACTAAACAATCAAGAGAAACAGAATTCTGATTTTAAACTATTCTAGGGTATAGAAAAACAGGGGGGACATTTCCTCTTTCATTTTATTAGGCTAGCATAATCTCAATAGCAAAATCAGACAAGACTGTTTCAGAGAAGAATTTTTAGGCAAACTCATTGAGTAACACAGATCCCCAGTCCCTAAAATATCGAGCACACTGAACTCAGCAATGTATAAAAAGGTTAGCAGTCAATATGAAAAGTGAACTTATTATAGGAATTCTGTGTTAATTTCAGAAAAATTACTAATTATTATTATAGTATTATTAAATTTATGGAAAATGTTAATCTCTATAGATGTGGAAAGAGCATTCATAACAGAGCATTCATATGGGATTACACTCCTATCAAGTTTGGATTTACTGATAATCTGATAAAAGAAAATATATAAAAAGTATAGACTGAAAAGGAAAAATCACAGATGTTACGTATGTAGAAACTTAAACAATATTTAGCGAGTCTACTGGTTACAAAATCAATATAAAAGTGATTTGCATCTCTCTCTATACAAAGATCATAAAAAAGTTTAAAAGTCCCCATTTACAGTAACATCAAAATTAAAAGCAACAGGACTAAATCTAAGGCAAGTCCTTTTTGGAGGAAAACAAACTATCAAAAGGAATCAAGGAGGAACCCACTACAATGGAAGGTATATAATGTTCTCAGTCGGAAGATGGAATACTGTATAGATGTTAATTACCCTCAAATTGATGTACAGATTCAGTGCAGCCCCAATAAAAATGCCAACAGTTTTCCATTCTCTGCAACTTGATTCTAAATTTGTAATGGAAAAGCTAAGGGACAAAATCAACCAAGACATTCATAAATAAAGAGACTTGCCCCATCAGATGCTATGACTTCTGAAGACTGTGCTATCTATACTAGTGCAAGTATCAACAAACAGAACCTGGGAACAAATTAGAAAACCTAGAAACAAATCTGCGGAAGCTTGATTTGGGACAGAATGGACACTGCAGACTGGGAGAAGACTGACACTCCATAGCAATGCTAGGACAACTGTCTTCTGTATAAAAAAAAAAACTCCAACAACAGTGAAACCCTATCTCAAAGCTATAGGAAAAAAAAATCAACAGGAAAGGTAAAACTCTAAAACTTTTATGTGACAACATGTGGGGGAGTATCTTTATGCCCTTGAGGCAGAAGAGGATTTCTTAAATAACCATGCAAAATATAAAAGGAAAAAATGGTGATTTTGATACTGAAATGAGGAATCTTTTTTCATCAAATGACCCCCACAGAGAGGGAAAAGATAGGCCACTGAATTGGGACAAAATACCTGTCCTACAAATAAACAAAAGGCCATTAGTATCCAGCATACATTAAGAGTGTCTAGAAAATGAAAAAGATAACCCCAGAGAAAAACTGATTAAAAACACATATAGGAATTTCAAAGAGAAAACATAAAAAGTGGACACTAAACATATACGATTATGTAATCAGAGGAATACAAATTAAATCCAAAATAAAATACCATTCACATCCATCAGATTTGTACAATATAAAAAAAAACTAAAAAGACCCCAAATGACCATTAACTGCACATGGGTTACTACAGTATATATACTAGCATAATGAAATAGAGCTAAAAAAAGTCAACAGGGTATGGATCACAAAACCACAATAAATAACAGAAGCCAAATAAAGAAATGAAATTACATTGATATGCATTTTATCCATTCTCTTGAATGTATAAAAAAACCCTTCACAGTAAAAAGTTTCTAAATTTTTTTTTAGTAATTTTTTTTTTTTTTTAGTAATCTCTATACCCAATGTGGAGTTCGAACTTAAGACCCTGAGATCAAGAGTCACACACTCTACTGACTAAGCTGGCAAGGTGCCCCAAGTTTCTAATTTTAGAATCTAAAATTCTCTTATGCCAGTTCTGCAAATAATTAAACGTAACATTTACAAGCCTAATACATGAAAGACACTGTGTTGCAGGATAACCATATAGTGAGATGAAAAGATTCTTCTGCTATTTTTTTAAACAGCAGCACATAATAAAAACCATGGTCAAATATAAAACAAAATATCTTTTGCCAAGATCAGTACATCTTTTTGGACATTTCCTATTTCTGCCAATCCATTCATCATTCTCCCATTCATTTCCTGAATCCTTCTTTTCCTTCTTCCCCAACATCCAGTCACCAGGTGTCCTTAGAGAGACTACCTGCTTATCTACCCTTTCCCTGCCAATTCTTCCACCACTGTCGTTTAAAGTCTTTAACTACTCTTATCTGGTCAAGTGAAATGATCCTCTACAAGGTCTCAAATTTCAGTCGCATTCCCACTCTTTAATCAGAGTTGAAGGGGTCCTTGGAAACCATCCACTCCAATTCTCCAGACAACAAATCAGCTTAATTCCCAAAGTTCTGTGTTCTTACCATTCGTTACTGCCTTATCTAAACCTGCAGCATTTTTCAAGTTTTAACTAAAGTGTATGTGACCAGTGGATAACGTTAATACACTTCTGAATACCTTTTTCAGTGGTCATTGTATCTGTGTTTCTCTTTAAAAAAATTAGTTTGGTGAGAAGGATCTTTATTCATTAACAAAGAACTAAAGGGTTATTGTTTTTTTTAAGATTTTATTTATTTATTTGGCAGAGAGAGCAAGCATAAGCAGGGGAAGCAGCAGAGGGAGAGGAAGAAATAGGCTCCCCAGCGAAGGCCTCAATCCCTGGGATCATGCCCTGACCCAAAGGCAGACGCTTAACCCGACAGCCACCCAGGTGCCCTAGAACTGAAGTTTTTAATTTACTCTTTATAATTTACAGAGCTTCACTTGGGAAGAATGCAGGTTAAAATTAAGCTTAAGAATGTGGACATTCTAGGCAGCAATGTATGTATAATAGTTAAAAATTATATAAACCACCTAAGTATCAAACAATAGGAGGATGGCTAAATAAATACTGTACACCTCCCATTCCCAAACAATGCTACGGTCTGTTTTTCAAACATGCACTAACTCCTTTAAGGGAATGATAAGCAAATCATTGGAAATATTTCCTTGAGAAGAGCACAGACCTACTCCACCAATCCCTCACTCAACTAAGTTACCCGTTTTTCTCATTTCCTATAGGACTGGACTTCACAGTCAAGTTTCCAAAGGCTAATTATTCAGTTCAAGTTAAAGGGGCTAACTTAATGTGCTCTGGGTTTCATTTCTGACTCCTTGGTGCTCAGCATTTGCTCATGCTGTTCCCTCCGGCCCCACGCTAGCAAAGTTCTATTCCTGTAAGACTCCACTCAAATCCTGTTCTTCCAATATTTTCCATAACTGTCCTAACCCTAAGAACATATTCTTCCTTCTCCAATCTCATGCAGAATTCACAGCATGTATCACTCAAGGGTACAAACAAAGCCTTGTATTATTTTTTACTTGCTTTCAACATTCCCAAATCAACTGCTGGTTTTTAAAAAGGCAATGCCATGGGTTATGGCAATTCACATCTCCAGTACTTCAAAAACACTATGTTCGAGAGACATTTAATGAAAAGAATGACTTAGCTAACAGCAAATAGGCCTCAATATGAAAATGAACTATTCATTTTTTTTTTTAAAAGAGGAAGACTCTCATGTCATAAGTTCACTCAAAGAAGATGTGTATATTAGGCTTCAGACAATATAAGCTTAAACTCTTTTATAGGCTGCTTGAAAAGACAGGGCTTTAAGATTCTGAAAAGCTTTTAGGATTTTGTCTAAACTTCAGGTGTTTCCTAAAGCAGGAGAGCTATTGTAAACTAAGAATTCAAAATTTATTTTAAAATATACTATAATCATACACCTTACAATTATGAAGCTATAACATACATATTAGCCAATCATCCATTACAGAAATTACTGCAAAGCTCCTAATAAGTACATACAATGATGCTGTGATGATTTTTGCAATTGGCAATGAAAAATTCATGAAACAAAAAAATATGCCATAAAATACCTTTAAATAGCGTTCAATATTGTTCATCAAAATATCAATTTCTTCCTTAGACCACATCCCCTGTTTCCATTTATGTCCTTTAAAGAAAAACAGATAATGTTATAGAAAATGTTATCCCTCAAGAGGAATAAGATACTAAAGTTTGCTAAGTGATTAAATAAATTATCTGAGGGAATAAAATGTATCTAATTTCTTGTTTATCTGAAATCTGAAAGATCCCAGGGAGTTATTTTTGCAACCTCTTTTAAGTATTTTAATTGTCTGTAACCTCTTTTATTCTAAGGCCCTGTGCCCAATGTGAGGCTTGAACTCATGACCCTGAGATCAACAGTCAAATGCTCTACTGACTGAGTCAGCCAGGGGCCCTGTAACCCCTTGTTTTTAAGAATACATTTGATCCTGGGACACCTGGGAGGCTCAGTCAGTTAAGTGTCCAACTCTTGCTTTCAGGTCAGGTCATAATCTCTGGGTCATGAGATCGAGCCCTGCATCAGGCTCTGCGCTCAGACCAGAGTTGGCTTGAGATTTGGTCTCTCCCTCTCTCTTTGCCCTTCCCTCCCCTCTCACTCTTTCCTCTTCTCTAAAATAAAAAAAAAAAAAAAAAAAAAAAAAAAAAAAAACAAAAAAAAAACGGATACAATTGATTCTATTAAATAAAGACAATAATTAGTAAAAGACCGAAAAACTATTACTTCTTCTCAGTTGTATGTCTTATTCTTTGAGCAATAGAGCCATGCTAAAAAGACATGAAAATTAAAGAACCAAATCATGCTCAAAACTGTCTGAAAAATTATCAATGGAAATAATATATTTTATGGGCAAGAGAACACACAAAAGATCCTAGGACAAGGTAAAAATAATACGTTGGATATCAAGTGAATTATATATTCAAAATGAGTATTTACTATGCAGTGGTTGAAAACAATCAATTTACTTACTTTTGCTTCCTTTTCTTACTTCAGAGTGGTGTACACACAACCCCCACTTTCTTATAACAGCTCCCTACCAATCCTTATGAACTCCATAGCTCTATAAACACTTTAATCTTCTAAGCTGCTTATCAGGCCAAAGTTAGATCTCTGAAAAGACTTGACTTCCCACTCAAGTCTTTGTGCAGTAATTATACTTTCTTTTAAATGCTACCACTGTGCATCTGTTTATAATTTACTGCATCTCAGAGAAGTTATGATCAATTATTAAAAAATTAATGTTGGTTTCATGGTCTCATTCAGAGCCAAAGTTAAACAATTACAAAAACTCAATTATTGTAACTACTCAATCACAATTATGAAATCATCAAAATCCTGATGACTATAAGTTCTTTTTATCTCCATTTATTCCCAATGGACACTAGAATTTAAAATATATTTTACCTTTGTTAGTCAGAGAATCCTTATCTTCTTTAGTTGTAAACCATGCTTGGCTAACTGCTGAAACTTCCTCATTACCCAAGGGGGATATTTCATCTAGTTGTTCATTCTGTAGAATCTTGAAGAAGTAAAGGTAAAAAAAGAAAAAAAAGTATACGTTGATTTAATACAACCTGATTCATTTTCTTTGCGATACTAAACATTATAAAACTCTAATATAGTAATATAATACGGAATTCATTTGCTTTAGATATAGTAAAAACAATTTCAATTTATAGAAAAACAAATATTTTTTTGTTTTTATTATGGTAATTTGAAAACAAAACTGCCTAACAAAATATGGCCTTTGTTTAATAACTCCGTAGTAGTGGCCTGAATTTATAGAATAACTAAGATTCCATTAGGTACTTAAACCAATATAAGATACCTAAAGCCATACGTATATTTAGATATGTAAAATGAGCTCATACATACAATAAAATGGAAATGCTTTGATTGAATATCATGACTGTTCATGTCCTCATAGGTAGTTTGCTGACTAAATATATAATCATCTGTAATGTAATCTCTTGGCTAAATTTAAAGGATTAACAGGCCAAATCAAAAGACACTACAAAATCAAGGTCTGCTTATTTTTTTTTTGACTTTATTTTCACTAATCTCTAAAACTGGTTCCTAACCCCATCAATGTACCTTCCTATCAAAGAACTATATGGTATTCCTTTTTTTATTATTAATGTAGCTAAAGCAGTCTTTCTCAAGAAATGTAGAGTTAAAAACTAACAGCTTTTTGAGATATAATTCACATACCATAAAACTCACCCTTTAAAGTATACAATTCAGTGGCTTTCAGTACATGTATGCAATTATCACACCAGGTATATTTTCAATTACAGACATACCTAATCTAACGAATTCTGTAGGAACTAAAGCCGCTTAAGAGAGCTGGTGCCTTGGGTTAGATATAGCTATAGCGTGAATCAGGAAGATGTGGCAACCGTGACACCATTTCAGGGATAAGTCCATCTATCATAGGCAAACCAGGAGGAGAGTCACACGCTAGTGGCCACTCAATGAAGTTCAATTTCAGTTGACTAGATCAACTATGCTATGTCACTGTCCAGAGGGAAGTCCTAACAGACACTGGACTATTTATTGAATAGGCAGAAATTGAATTTCTAATTTCAAGAGGAACTGAAATTATCCTACTTGGAAAGAGAGAAGCTGTCAGTGAACATGAGAAATGCCACATTTCCACTGTCACCTATGTTATTTTTATATCTGGGAGTAATGAGTATCTTGTATTCAAGAGAGTGCTATTCTTAATTAAATCCATGTGCAAAAGGCTAGTCACTGGAACAAGTATGAAAAGTTTTGTAATCCTGTGTTTATGTGTCATACGTTTTACACATTTATATATATATATAGATAGATAGATTTTTTTTTTAAAAATCAAGAGGCTGCCTTTATAAAGGTGAAAATGGAGAAGACTAGACAAATAATATCTAAGGCCTCTCATATTCTGAAGATCCCAATGGTCTAAGATTTGACACACAGAGGTTATTCTTCAAGGGTGATACAGATTGCTGTGAAAGACTTTGATAAAAATAATACCCACTGTTAAGAAATGTAATGTAGAAAATATTCTCCTGAGATGACCTTCTCTTATATGTTAATCACCTGGTTAAAAGAATAAAATCACTATTTCCCAAAGTGAGTCTAGAATATACAGCTCACTCTCTGAACCTTTTTTAGTTTCTAATTACTTTTCAAGCATCCCCCATTGCTGAAATGGAACTAGTACATCAACTGCTACAATATGCGAAATAATTACATCTGCTTTGACACAGAGCACAGCGAAAAGCAGACTAGTTCTGAACTCTGAACTATGCTTCCACTCACGAACTCACGACCTAATGGTGTTCTTGTGAAACAGCTATTAGAAATTATTAAATGTTCTTCATTCACTAACCTGGTAATAACAAACCAAGAGGCCAACAGCAAATTATTAACTCATTAACTCTAAAGAAATAACCCAAACAAAACCACCCTATAATTTGTCTAACACTGATACTGCCCAGTCTTTTAACAAGTTGTAAACCAAATCACACACGTATATATACACAGCTATTTTTACTAGAATTGAAGTGAGATTTCAATTCTTCAAAACAGAATTGAAGTGAGACTATACATTCTTTGAATTGGAATGAATCTGACAAGCCCCATTTTGAAGAATGTGTTCTATGGCTTCAGAGGACTTGGAAAAAATTCCTTCCAAATCACCCACTGAAATCCAAGAGCAGATTATGAGGATCTCTAGCCAGGCTCAATACTGTTTGAAGCACATGAAAGACTTACTCCTCTAAAAATGCTGTCATTCTGGAATCACTGTAAAGCTTCCTGTTGAAAAAGGTTCACAGTGCACCCACCTGAGATGTCCTTAGTCTTTGATGTTATATATCACCTTACACTTAACTGAACTCTTACACTTAACTGGAGGGTCATTGTGATACTTCACATAAGAAAAATAATGACATAATGTCTCTGGTATCTACTTCAAAAATATTTTTTTAAATAAAGAAATGAAGCAAAAGGACAAGATACTAAAAAAGAAAGGCACAATCAGCCAGACATAAACTTAAAAGTAAAATAGATTTAAGCTCCAGGCTATCAAAGAGAGCAAAGAATTCTAATTACGTTTGGCAGAAATGACTCATATGAGACAAAGAAGTTCACAGAAAAGGAAAGCAGTTAAGTCCTACTTGCTATTCAACCTCTTAACTCAGGGTAAAATGTATCTTAGTCCTATAGGCACCAAAAGGGACTACGACTGTTGTTTAAAATCTATGTGAGATGAGTACTTTCCCTTTATATTAGAACAGAGAACATATGTGGCCTTTCTAAATCAGTTACTAGACATTAACTGTTGGGTTAACACTTAAAAGGCTTTATATCAATATCTTATATAATTGTTAAGATAAACTTAAGGTTATTGAATAGCTCAAGTGAGATTATTCCATGTAGTTGATGAATGCATGTGCACCATCTGTTTCAACAGATGTGAACCACTCTACAGGGAATGCATTTTCAAACTATCTTTGTCTACTATTTTGAGATTCATGTAAGCAGGGACTGGAAATATGAATGAAATAATAAATCTTACCTCAATTCTGTCTTGTCAGACAAATTATGTTCTCATCATTTTATCACCTAAAGTATGTGTTAAGGATAATCCTCTTGTAGTCAGTAAAAAGACTCACTATACCTGAATCTGTGTCACAGTTCCCTCAGTAATCTCATCATCTGCCACCTCTGTGGTTGCAGTCATGGTCACCTCAAAGCTCTGATCATTTTCTGAAACTTAAAGAAAAAAAGAACAATTCAACTCCAGAATATACAAGTTTTAATTATTAAAAAAAAAAAAAAATCCATGGGAAAAAAATATGTGACCATCTCATTTCCTAACACATTCCTTGCCAATTAAGCCCACATATATACATTTAACAAATACACATATATTTAACAAAAATTTATTGTGTGCCTAATCACACACACCAAGTGTGTAATTTTTTTGGTAATGGGTAATGGGAAGACAGCAGTAAGCAAATGAAACAAAATCTTGACTTCATGGTGCTTCTATTCTAGTAAGGAAGACACAAAATGAACATATTATGTCAAATGTTGATAACTAATGAGAAAAAAATAAGGCAGAAAAGAGAATGTATTGGATGTGGGGACTGAAATTTTAGATAGCAGGCCAGGAAAAGTAAACAAGAGCTAGACGCAAGTGAGAAAAGGAGCTAGTTACATAGGTATCTTAAAGAGGAGCACTTCATGCAGAGGGAAAGCCAAGGGCAAAGACTGAGATAGAGGCACACCTGGACGGTTCAAAGGAATGGCAAGGAAGACAGAGTGGCTACAGAAGACTGAACAGGAACATAAAGATGTCGTGTGGAGACTTGAAGGGCAATGTAAAGACTTTGGCTTTAATGCTCAAATGGGAAACTACTGGAAGACGCAGAGTTACATAATCTGACTTTTATTTTAATAGGCTCGCTCTGGCTCCTAAGCAGACAACAACCTGAAGGGCAAGAGGGGCTGCAGGGAAATCAGTTAAGAGGCTAATTCAGTAATCCAGGTAAGAGAAGTCAGTGACTTGTACAAGGGCTGAAGCAAGTGGAGGTGATGAGTAGTTCAAATTGTGGATATATTTTGATTTGGGAACCAAAAGGATTTGTGGATAAACCAAATACGAAAGGAACTGAAAAGTCAAGGATGTTATTAAAGTTTCAAAAATCTGAGCTATTGGATGAATGTATCTTCCATTAACGAAATGGGGAAGAGCATAGAAGAATCAAATTTTAGAATTTAAGAAGTTTCAGGAGCTTGGATTTAAACATACTAGTTTGAGATTAAACATCTAGAATTAAGATGAAGTCTGGAATGGAATAAATCTGGGCATCATTACCTGAGATAGGTTTAAAACCATGAATTCTAGGGAGAGAAAGAAAACAAAACAGAAGCAACTTAAGAACTGAGTCCTGGACTACTGCAATTTAGAGCCTGGGGAGATGTGAACAGTATAAGAGACTCAAAAGGCACACATATTAAGGTAGAAAAAAACTAGAGGAAAGTGTTCCTTAGAAATCAAATGACAAAATGTTGCAGAGTGATAAATATTGTCAAAAAGTGTGGACAGATCAAGTAAATATGACAAAGACTAAGACAAACAATAACCACCACTGGCCGTAGCAGCATGATAGTCTCAGTAGACCTGGGAAGAACAGTTTTGGTGAATTGTTAGAGGTGAAACCCTGACTGGAGTGGGTTTAAGGAAGAATGAAAGAAGAAATGGAGGTAAGTGATCAATTCTTTCAAAGTATTCTGCTCTAAAGGAAGGAGAGCAGTTAGATGGGAGCCTAAAGTGGGCAAATGGGAGTTTTTATTTTAAAGAAGATATTATAGTATGTTAGTAACTCCTATGGGAATGATCCAGTAGAGAATAAAAAACTGATGATTCAGAGGAGACAGGAAAGAAATGCGGCAATGATGTCCTTGAGTAGGTAAAAGGGATGCAATCTAGTAAAGCAAAGGGCCGGCCTTAGCAGAAAAGAGAGAATGTACGAACATAGCTACATGCGGATATGTATTTGTTGTAGGGGAATTTTGCAGGAACTTGTTCTACTTCAATTTTCTCAGTAAGTAGAAACAAGGTTATCTGCTGAGAGGAACAAAGGTGGAGAAAATACTAGAAGTTTCAGGAGTTTATGACAGTCATCACTGAGTGGGAGAAAAACCATCCATTTGGTAAGTGTGGCATAGCTGGCAGGCAACAGTATGAGCCCACTTCAAGTTAATGATCATGAGTTTAAAGTAAGATCACTCAGCTTGCTTGTGCTGTTTTTCAATTAGCTGTGCCAGTATAGACATAAATAGGCAGACAGATTTAACCAGGGTTGTGGTTTTACTAAAGGACAATGAAAAAAGGATTTGAGGGTAAATGCAAGAGTGATTATAATGATTAACCATGAAACAAACTGGGTAGAGAAACAAAAGATACAAGTGGAAAAGAACAATGCAAAAGTGGTCAGATCAGTGGGTCCTAGTGGGGCAAAGGACTATAAGCAATAAAGAGTATTAGAAGAAATAACCTGGAAACATAGGAAGTAGTGCTGGAAGTAGATCACAAATAGATTCCCTGGAAAGATAGGAAGTAGATCACAATTAATAGTGTTGGAAGTAGATCTCATTAATAAGTAACAGCAAAGGAGGTAATGGGAGTAATAAACAAGGTAGTGTGGATAACAAAAGGTAGAAGAGGTTAAGATATTGCAATAATTATCTAAATGAATAATTACCAAGAGTTCTAACTGTGACTAGGGAATGGAGTAAATATGGTGGTAGATAATCACAGTAAGAAGTGTTAAGTGATGTAGAATGACTGACATAAGAGTTAAGAGGATTTTTAAGGATCAAATTTTTACCAGTTTTAAAAGAATGTAAACTTGGATATTAGAATTAAAACTGAAATTAATAACTATCTTTAAAAACTAATATTTACTTCCCTAAAGTTCAGCAAACAATGACTTGCCCATTCAATCAGTGCTAAATGATGGTGACAAACACAGCATTTTATGTTTTTATATGACTTTTTTAATGGAGAAGTTTCCCTAAACTTGTTTGTGATTTTATCAACACACTTTTAACAAATCTAGGAACAATACTTCAAGTCCACTTTTCATAAATTTAGTCTCACTGTAAATATTAGGCTCCAGAACGTCCTCCATACGTCATGATGCTGACCTGATTTCAAGCAATTCAGATGCTTTTATGTCAGCACATCCATATCATCCTGCCCACTTAAGCTAAGTAGTGTGTGAAGGATTCAGCCTAACACCATAAAATAGAACAAAATATCAACTGTAGTTTGATCAAGGTACTCAACTCTAACCAAATGAATTAACCAGCCATAATTTATGTAAAAATAATCCCTCACAAATTCTGGCTTAGTAAAATAAGTATTTTCATTTTATTTTATATCCTGGGGATGTAATGTACAGCACTGTGACTATAGTTAATAATACTCTAGGGTATATTTGGAAATTTTTAAGAGTAATCTTTAAAGTTCTTATCACAAGAAAAAACTGTAACTATGTGTGGTAACAGATGTTAACTAGACTTATGTTCATTTCACAACATGTATGTATACTAAATTACTATTGTGCACCTAAGACTAACATAATGTTACAGGTTAATGATGTCTGAATTAAAAAAACTTCCAGCTTAGAAAATGTCCATATAGGATTATATCTGTACAGACAGGCCAATCAAATTTTAAGACTGGATCACAACCTAATGATAGTCAAATTAGGAGTTTTAAAAATCATGAATCATCACTAGAAGGAAAGATCATTTAATTGGAAATACATTATGTTTGTATATGTCACTAGGAGCAATGTGGCATTAATATGAACCACTGTTCAATAAAGTCTCACAGTAAACTGATATAAAATGGTTTTTCTGTTCAACTGAATAAGCAAACTCTACATAAAAAGTACACATCTACTTGTAAAGACAAGGTTTTGCTATGATGAAAACCTAATCTTACTTTTATCCAATTGGATGAAGATGTGATTTTGCTTGATCCTGGGTACAAAATGAAAGTTCTCAAGAACCAGAATGCCTGGTATGACCTTAGACAAGTTCTCATACCTCTCCATGCCTTAGTTTCCTCATTAAAAACAGGAATCATAACATCTACTCTAGAGCATTCTTTCTCAATGAGGGCCAAAAATGCTTCTGGGTGAGGTGTGGGTGAAAAAAAAAATTCTCTTTATTGACAAAACAACACATACAATACAGTACATTAAAAAAACAACAGTATATCTGTGATATTACAATTTCAAGGGGGAGAACATGATCAAGAGAAAATGTCTCAAAAAGCTTGGGGTAGGAAGGATGACAGTAATTTTTTAAAAAGCTGAGAAGATTAAAATAGGCAATATATGTAAAAGCATTTAGAGTCATTAAGTGTTTTAGTTAGGAAGGTTTTTGTGACTAATGAAGAGGAAAATAATGAACCTAAGTCTACCTTGAAATGCCAATTATGATCTCTCCCAAGCTACAATGTGATTTCAAAAGGGAACTCTGTTCTTAATACATAGTGACTTACGTGGAAGTGCAACAACTGATATGCAAGGAGTAGAATCATCAATACTTTGATCATCCTCAGAAGACAGACAAAGCCTTTTATGTGGAGGTTCAGTACTATCTTCTGAGTCTATTTCATCAGCTTCTAATGAAACAAACAAACAAACAAAAACTCAAAATCTTCAAACCAATGAGAAAACCCAAAATCTTCAACAAGTAACTATAAAACAATTTTCTTATCAATTTGCTCAGTTAACCCAATTGTGCAAGTAGGGCTTCAACGACACTGTCTTCTATATCCCCAGGACAGTATCTCAGCTCCTATTCTGGTAACAAGAATTAGGAGAACAGAGGGGCTACTTTTTAAATATCATATTTCGGTGCTACTAACTACCTATCTTTCCAAATATTTCACAAGTAAAGATAGGCGTTGGTAATTTAAATCATTCACTAATAATCACTGAATGCCTACTATGTGCTAAGTGCTGGGAAGAGAACAATGACAGATACCTTTGCTTATCAAGGAGAGCTCACAGGGTGGTAGAGGAGATGACTAAAGCAACAATCTCAAAATGGTGCTGTTAAGAGCTGTGCAGGTGGAATGAAGAGACTGTTCCATGAGCAGAGGGGAGAGACATCTAATTTTGTCTACTGGTAAAGGAAGGCTTCCTGGAGAAGGTGTCTTGAATTGAAAAGAACTTGAATGAATAGAAGCTAGGGGTAATGATAATACTGGCACTAGGAATAATTATTTGCAGTGACAGTGAGGTATGAAAAGCTTAAGGTATGTAAGTAAGGAAAACAAGACAGCTATGAATTGCTGGGACACAGATATATGAAATGTGGAAGGAAGTGAGGCTGGAAGGAAAGCAGAGATGATGGGAGGCCATCACTGTACTCTAAAAACCATGGGAAACTTGAAAAAACAAACCTTCCTACACTACTGAGTATCATGAGCAAGGTCATCAGCAGTTTGAAAGATGAATTCAAGTTGGGAGACTCATTAGGCTAGTGGGGCCTCCCAGGTGAGAAATGAGACTCTGAACTAAGAAAGTGGGATTGAGACAGAGTAAGCAATGGATTCAAGAAACAAAATACTATCAACAAATTTTCATGATAGAATGAAAGTAGGAGATGAGAAAAGAGTTTATTCCTACCCACATTTATGATCTGCATTGCTAAGTAATGAAATTGACAGAGAAACAAAACTAGTCTGGGAATTTTGTGAAGAATTCAGTTAGGAACATGTGAAATTTAAGGTGCCTATGAGAAACACAAAGAATTCAGAAAATAAGACAGAAGTTTGAATCATTTTAATAGTAGGTGATAGTTAAAATCACAAGTTTGAATAAAATAACCAGAAATTAAGTACTGAATGGGAAAAGGAGATAAAGCCTAGGTTGAGGAAAGATAAACTTACAGCAAAATACATAATAAATATAAATAATAAATAGGTAGAGAAGTGACAACAAAATCACAAGCCTGTTGAATCTTAATTGATTATATAGGTAATCACATTAAATCTTATTCAGTCATGTAAAATCCTTTAACAGACTGGAGCAAAAAAAAAAAAAAAACTGACAGGACTACTACATTTCCTAATGTACATTGCTGGCACCAACTGATATCAAAGAGGAAGTATATTACAGTTAATCCATCATCATCTTTATAGGCTCAAGAGATTCTACTTATCCATGAAAGTAGCTATGAGATTAATCAAAGTTCAAACACCTGACAAATTTTAAAAATACAAAGGTATATTTAAAAAATAAAAATATAAATTTAAGTTAACTCATGATCCAAAGAGATAACCCCCTTTTCTACTGTCCTAGCCTAAACTGTCTATCTGGGTAACAGGGATCAAAGGTGACAAAATCCAGAAATATAGAAAGATCCACAGTTGTATGACAGAAAGTTCTCCTACCATTCTGAGGGCAATGAAGAATGAGGTTCCCGTCTGTGTCCTGAGTCAAAGTCACAGAATTCACAGTTTCTACTGTTACTGTGTCAGAATCCTCTTCAACTGTGCTCATACTCAAATCTAGATGACAGGTTTCAGATTTAAAACATTATTTCCAAATATGAACATAAAGTAGCCCCCAACTTATCCCTCTTCCCCACAAAAAAACCCATAATTTAAATTTGATTCAGCATTCTTTATGTGAAATTGCAATGACAGTTCAGACTGCAAAAACTGTTTTTTAAAAGGTTATACCCATTATTTAGAATGAGATGTAATAATCTACAAAAATCCGACTTCTCTAATTAAAAACCTATGGGATTAAGATTTAGTTTTACCACATCCAATGAAAAAGATTGCTCCAAGTTGTCTTATCAATATTATTGCTCCAAAAACACTTTTTACAAGTGTTTAAGCTCTATTATTATCTGAAAACTAAGAACACTATGGAATCATCTTCACCATGTTTTTTTCCAAAATATTAAAGCGTATATAACCATCACTCCAAACTGCTTTTAATGGATATGGAGGTAGGCCTTCTTTTGAAATAGAGAAGTGATTTTGTTTAAAGCGCCCTTACCTGATATTTTACACATATATCTAATTTTCCTCTTGTTCAGACAAACTGAATGATCAGAGTCTCACAATACAATACCTTCTGGCTGATGGGAGGAAATGTACTGAATTAAAATCAAGGGCCTGATTAAAGTCTTCGAGGTTCTTTTTATAATATTCAATGAAGTTCTTCCCTCAGTACTCAATTTCAGTCTTGTCCACATACTTTTTATCAACTAAAATGAAGGCCATAAGCTTTAATGTGTACTGATCACTTAATATATATTTGGCTCCTATATACAACATATTAGTCTGTTCATATAATTACCATTTATTCAAGTGTATCTTCCCTTGCCAGAAAAACTTAAGATATGTCAACATTTACATGATGAAGATCCAATGATTCACTCAGGTTTTCTAAACAAATTACTGTTTTAAAAGGACATTGTTCATTTTACAATAATAAAGATGACATTCCCCAAATTAAAGATAAATAGAAATCATGGTCTAGTTATCACTAAAATTTGCAAAAAACAAGGTATGGTCCTTGGAACAAAGGCAGGCTTACCTAGAAAATAGATGGATCAGGTATAGCCCTTCCCACAGAATCAAGTCGCCTTTCCTTAGATACCAGCATCACTTTCATGTTATCCAGATTACTTCTCTCCCATATTCCTACCTCTGCAACACTCTGAAAAAGTAACAGCATTATACAATACGGCTTAAATAAGAACAAACAACTGTGTTCTATCGGTATGTTCATGACACTTTAGCCACAAGCATCTGTGATGTCTTAACTAAAAAACCAGAATTTTTTTCTAAATAGACCTTCAGAAGTCAGCCTCTAAGTTTTCCCCAATGAAAGGCAGAAAATGATGAGGTCCTATACCTAGTAAATTAGTTTATAGGCAGTTTCTCAACCCAAGTTGTCCTTCAACAGGTAAATATTCTCAGAAAAAAAGAGCTTCAACTATGCTACTGGTTCTATGAACTGTAGATCCAAGTATGTGTAATATCACCCAGGATGTACAGTGCCAAATACTACCAGTAACTACATTTTTTTCTTTATAATAATTTACCACACCTTTTTTTATACACAATACTGTGTTTCATCTTAAAGTATTAAAAACTATTATCATATGTGAATAATCTTGCCTGTGGATCTGTGGAAGAAAGAAACCCTAAACAACTAAGCCAGAAAAGGTAAATTATAAGCAAGCTCTTGAATCCAAGGTGAGCCCTACAAAATCTGAAATGATTTTTAAAGTTTCTTTCAATAAACTTCTCATTATCATCCCAAAGGGTCAACCAAATAATCAAGGAGTACAGCACGATTTGAAATTTATTTACTATTATTTTTAATAGTTATTTTTTTATTTTTAAAATATTTTATTTATTTATTCATGAGAGACAGGCAGAGACACAGGCAGAGGGAGAAGCAGGCTCCATGCAGGGAGCCCGACGTGGGACCCGATCTCGGGACCCCAGGATTACAACCTGAGCTGAAGGCGGTGCTAAACCGCTGAGCCACCCAGGTTGCCCGTGATTTGAGATTTAAAGGGTATTTCAGCAATAGCTAACAATTGAAATTTCCATTTTAGCAGTGTTCTAATTAGAACTCCTCTCTCCAGGATGGTTATATTTTGAGAATTGCTATACATAAATAAGTCTGCAGTGCCTGGGTGGCTCAGCGGTTAAGCATCTGCCTTTGGCTCAGGGCGTGATCCTGGAGTCCCAGGATCCAGTCCTCATGGGACTCCCTGCGTGGAACCTGCTTCTCCCTCTGCCTATGTCTCTGCCTCTCTCTGTGTGTGTCTCTCATGAATAAATAATAATAAAAAATAATAAAAAAGTAAAAAAAGGTACAGATCCTGCTAGAGAAACCTCTAGTCAGCTATTAGATTTCACATTGTTCTTATTTCTGAATCCATTAAGTTTTCTTAAAAAGCTGGTAATATTTTTGTGCAGAAGATAGAGAAATTCAATGTTAAAAAAATCATCCTTAAACTTATCAAAAGTAGAGTTCACTCTCTTTGGTGTGTGTGCGTTTGTAAAAGTGTATAAACAAGCAACTATTAACCTCCTTTTTACAGTTTATTCATATTAAAGGTATGATGAAACCAAGCTAGGTATCTAAATGAAGATTTTCTGTATCACTTAAAACTTACATCACATAAAAAAACATGACCTTATTTAACTGCCCTATCACTGGTCATTTGTGTTGTTCCTAATTTTTCATTTCCTTAAAACATAATGAAACATTTATATACTCTATTTCCTTAAACAATATTAATGGAAATTATTAAAGGGATATGACAAAATTTAGAACTCCTGAGTCACACTGAGACAGAAATTGTAAGGGACCCCATAAAAAAAAAAAGCTGTTTTTTTTTTTTCTTTGTTCCTTTTCCTGCTTCTGTTTTTGCTAGGACCCACACCCCACCTTAGACATGCATTAATGTATGTCCTCCTTGTAAAGGTCAAGGAGTTAATGATTTCTTTGAAGTCTTCCAGCACAACTGATAACATCTAAGGAGTGACCATGTGAGGTCCTCATGGAAGTTCTTCTCCCAAGACCATGGACTCCAAACACCCAGACGCCAAGACCCTGGGCTCCAGGGCATCAGTGACTTAAGGACACCTGAACACTAGTTCCTGGATGCCTGAGAAGACATGTACACCAAACCACTGTCCTTAATTATAACTCTGGACCAGCAAACAAAGATGAGACTTATGCCCCTTTGAGTATCCCAGATGTTTCATCTGTATCTGCTCTCTTCTATATTCATCAACTCTGCTCTCACTTCTTGCTGGCTGGAGTTTGATTTCCATCCTGCGGGAAGCCAAGAACTGCCTTGGCTGGTCCTGTGGGACCCCTTCTGTATCCTTGGACCTGGTCTGCCTGCATCAATACTGCATTCTGTTTTCTGGAAAGGCTGTTTGAATTTATACCCAAACCACCGAGATAGAAACTTTATCCTTGGCAACCTTTCTTTTATTAAAAAGAAAGCACAAAGCAAAAAACAGCACAAGAGTTCACTGGATAGGTGCAAAGCAGTCACTAGTTTAGCATTTTAATCAGTGTCATTAGGATTCAAATTAATCTAAAGTTTTAGAAAAAAATAAAGGTAGATTTAAGATAACATGGAGATATGAGATAATATAAGAAAAAAGAAGTCTGAAATAGCTAGCTGAAATAAAGTATTTCATTCTTAACAACCTGTACTGGTTACAGGTGATCCTATGCAACATACTAGCTTTAAATCAGAAATCTAGGTTCATTCTCAAAAATTTGGCAATTCATGTTTGAGATTAGTAAATGGTTCTAAGGCGGTTTGCAAATTAAGCATATTTGTTCAGTCAAGAAATATTTATCACATATCTACTATATATGCACTCTCTAGGCACTGGGATATGGTGGCCACTTTTTTTTTTTTTTTAAGTGTCTCTTTAGATATGCTCTCGACTCACTTTCCCATCCCAGGGCTCTCCCACATCCCACTGTAGTTGGGAGCTAGGAGGTCAGTGTATTTATTAATATTTAAGAAACTAATCTGGTTTTATTTTCAATTTATTTTAAATAGGTGACGCATTTACATGGTTCAAAATTCAAAAGATAAAAGTGGTTATACAGTGAAGTTTACTTCCTCCTCCAGTTCCCTAGTCACCTGGTCCCCCTCCTTCTTTAGGTAAACTGTTATCAATTTCTCAGGCTCCCTCAGGGGGGAAAAAAAAAAATCTCAGGCTCCCTTCCAATGATTTTATGCCTATGTAAGTCAATATAGCCCTTCCTGCTACAGTCTCTTTACAGAAATAGTATTATAATACTAACAATGAACAGTACCTTAATGGCTACTTTTTAGTACCTCAGCAGCAAGATGAGACACCAGTATAAGCTAGCCAACTGATTAATAATAGCAGAATCCCTAAAGTGGGACCTGCTTTGGCCTGTTGAAGGGGGGGAAAAAAAAACCCAGCAGCCAGCATGGCAGAGGCTTTCCATAAAGAGGAAGAGTAGCTGAATATAAGGTTGGAGATAAAGACAGGGGTAGATCTCACAAGGCCTTATAAATCCTTGGATGGTGTTCAGCTGGGGAATATAATTTACATTTTTAAAAAAATCATTAGACTGCAGTATGGAGAATAGGTAAGTTATGAAGACAAATGGTGGTCCCAGAAATGATTCTTGTTTGGACTGTCAAAGGAGGCTGAACAAAGGATACATTCTGGAGACAGTGTTGACAGACTTGCTGAATGAAGGGATCATGGAGATTAAGAGAAGGGTAACTATCTTAAGCTGAACCCTAGGCTTTTTGCTTGAACAGCTGATTTGAGTTTGGTAACACTTAGATATATTTTATTATGTGTTTTTATTACTATTAGTATAAATAATGTTATAAGGCATTCAAATGAGGGTTTCACATTGACAGTTGGAAGCTGGAATTCAACAGATTAGACACATCAAGACAAACTTGAGTTAGTGGCCTGCAAATAATTTTTTTAAAGATTTGTTTATTTGCAGGTGGGGGGTACAGGGAAAGGGAAAAGGAGAGGAAATCTCAAGCAGACTCTGACCTGGGTGTGGAATCAGAGAGGCTCGATTTCATGTCATGAGCCAAAACCAAACCAACGGACGCTTAACTGATAGCACCACCCAGGGCGCCCTGGCAAATAATTTTTAAACTTAAGATCACCCAGAGAGGTTAGATAAGACAACCTAGATTTCAGTTCTAGAGCACCCTTTAACAGGTGGAAATCAAGCTATACATAAAGTTAACTGAAAAGGACTAGCTAATGATAGAGAAGGAAAACTGTGAAGTGTTAAAAGACAAAGAGTGTTTTTCAAGTAGTCATCCATGTTAAATACTGCAGAAAAGATGGAGAGGTGACTAATTGATCTGTCTATATGGAGAACATTGGCAGCCTTAATAAAAATAGTCTGAGGTATAGTGGGAACAGAAGCCCTGCTGGACTATGTGGAGAACTGAAAGTTGGGAGACAAAACAACAGGTCTTTCATGAGGTTTAGCTTTCACAGCAAGTGAGCAAATACTAGCTACTTTAACGTCTCAAGAGCTGTTATTTAGAAAAGCACAGCTGTATACTGATAGGACTATTAGAGTGCCTGAAAAATGCTGGTGAATAAAACTTATGACAGTAAGGTATAAAGCTGAGTGTTACGGTGCCTCCCATTGTAATTCATTATGAAACTATGCTTAATTTCTAGACCTATTCCTTATTTGGCTTACAGGGGAAATGTGTCAGAAAGATACATCAACTTTTTATCTTCTACCTTCAACTATTTAGTTTTCTTTTTGAGGTCTTCCCTTCCTTCACGGTCAAGGGTTACGCTGTATGAACTATATTTATACCAACTAGAAGGGAGAAGAAAGAAATTTTAACAGCCATTTTACCTAGTGAAATGGCATTTTAGCATGTTTCTATCCATCATCTGGTAAATATCTTACACAGCAACAATATGCCAATAAAATGAAGAAAAGAACATGTGAAATGTGGTATAAAACATTTATAATGGATTATTTATATTCATGTTTAAGTGAGAAATGTGTTTGTCTTCATTTAGAGCTCCAAATGAACAAGAACCCTATTTAACGTAGAACAAAAGGACAATTCTGGATCTGGTATTTAATACAGAATTAAAAAAAATGAATCCTTCACCCTACTTCACTCCAATACTGATGTAAAGTTCTTATTCAATGGCATTACTTTAGACTGGTATTTCCATCAACTGAATCTATATACAGGCAAGGCTCATTTTATTACACTTCATAGATACTGAGGTTTTTAAGATTTTATTATTTGTTCATGAGAGACACAGAGAGGCAGAGAGAAGCAGGTTCCCTCGGGGGAGCCTGATGTGGTACTCAATCCCAAGACCCTGGGATCACGACCTGAGCCAAAGGCAGAGGCTCAACTACTGAGCCATCCAGGTGTCCCTCACCCACATTTTAAAAAAAAGATTTACTTTTTAATACAACAAAGGATTATGGCAACTGCACATTAAGCAAATCTATTGGCACTACCAACAGCATTTGCTTACTTCGTGTCTACATCACATTTTGGTAATTCTCAAACTATTTTCAACTTTTTCATTATTACAGCTGACTCTTGAGCAATGTAAGTTTGAAATGCATGTGTTTACTTACATGTGGACTTTTAAAAATATAGTAAAGGTATTTTAATTTTTCTCTAATTTATTATTGTAAGAGTATAGTATATAACACATAAACAATTATATGTGTTTGTTAATGGTAAGGCTTCTGGTCAACAGTAGGCTTTTAGTAGTTTTTGGCAAGTCAAAAGTTATACAGGGATTTTCCACCACCCAGGGGGCCATCTCCCTTAAGCTCCCCAAAACTGTGTTGGGTGTAGTGATCTGTGATTAGGATTTAAGACTAGATGAAAACTCAGATAACATTTTGTAGCACATTGGTTCTGACATGCTCTTGCATGCTTTTAAATGAACTAAAGTATAAACATAATTTTTGTATGCACTGGGACACCAAAAAATTCATTTGACATGTTTTATTGCAATCTTTGCTTTATTGCAGTGGTCTGGGACTGAACCGCTGCAGTTATCTCTAAAGTATGCCTTTAATTGTTCTAATTTTCCAAATGAAGTGTCAAGTTTATCTTCCAAAAACTACAACTAGGAAAAGTAGCATTTCTTCCTACTGTGGGAACTAGTTTTGCAGATAAATTTGTATCTGTTTCTGAACAGTCCAAGTGTGGGAGGGTATATTTTAGTGGAGATCATGAAAAGCACAGGAGCCAAAAGTTGCTGACTCTACATGCTTGGAATTGGGACTCTACATCAAAAGATGTGATGAGACTAAACATTCAGTATTATAAGATACTTTTGTTAGGGAAAATCAAGCAAGCTACAGAACTTTAACACTAGAATTTTATTGAATGAGTTGACCGAAAAACAGATACAAGGTTTCTGGTGTAATTCAACTAATAAGGCAATAAGGCCACATTTAATTTTTAAATGTCTTTACTTAAACCAATCTAAGACAAATTATTCATATATTCCTCTAACATTTTGTGACAATCTTCCAAACAATGTCACACCTTTTATAACTTTTTCTGCACTTACTTTATTAGAGTATTTCCCAGTATCTCTACTTATTCTTCTACTTCATTTTTAATGGGTACATAGTATCTAAATATATCTAACCATTATCCTGTAAAGCGAACATTTTTGAGGTTGTGCTATTATAAAAACCCCATATTGACACCACCAAACCCATCATTGCATACAACTAATGCCTTAGGAAATGCTTATAAGTGGATTTGTTAACATGTAACTAAAAATTTAAAGATAGGTTTTAAGATATTTTGAAAGAATAAGACTCTTTGCTAATTAGAAAGTCTTAGTGGAAGAGATTAAGTAACAAATGGCTACATCCTGAACATGGGTACTCAAGACTGCTGGCAGAATAGAAAGCTGCAGAATATTGATTTTATCCAAGATAGGGATAGGGACATTTTACACTGAGGCTGAATGCTTTGGACTGTGGTTCCAAGTTCCTGGGGATTTGCTCTTTTGTACACTTTGTGAATAAGTTTGAGAAGCAAAGTTATAAATGAATATAAAGTATACCAAAATAACTAATGATTGTAATACCTTAGTTTTAAGGTAGCAAAATATGACTACACACCACATCAATAAAGTTGTTTGTGGAGTTTATTGTAAAAGGCTTTAGTTGCTTAAGACTGATTTCAATTACCAACTATTTTTTTAAAGATTTTATTTATGGGGGGGGGGGGGGGAGGCGCACACAAGCCAGGAAGAGGCAGAAGCAGACTCCTCGTAGCACAGGGAGCCTGACACAGGCCCGATCCTGGGATCATGATCTGAGCCAAAGCCAGAGTCTTAACCAGTTGAGCCATTCAGTAGCCCCCAATTACAAACTATTGAAAAACAATGTTATTATCAAAGACGATTACTTGTTAGTATGGTTCAAGGTGCAGAATTTTGTACCTAGTTTGGCAATAAAATCATATTGCTGATCTGAAAGAAAGAATATTTTTCACATAGTACATGGTTTCAGAACGTATGATGAGCATTTGGCTACATTTATATATGGAAATACATCAAATTATCATCATAGTCCTCCGATTTACATTAAAGTTGATTTTTAAAGGACACTTGACAGATACTAATATACAAATAGACAGTAAATAAACATAATGAGCATTTCTTTTGCTACATAACATGTGATGATAAAGTGTTGACAACTCAGTGCTTGGAGAATGGCCTGATAACAGTGTACATAACCAAAATGACAGTTTAAAAAAAAATTAAAAAATTGTTCATAAAGGGCTGTCCAATGTGCTGTTTCCTGAGAACATCTTTCTGGAATTCAGTCATGGATTGGGGTGTCTTTCCACAAACTTGAAGCAGCAGACATGATAAACAGGTTCCTTCTTTTATTTATCTTTATGGAATCAAAGCAAAACCAAAACCTATTCATGATTTCTATTACAAGAATTTTCTTCACAAAAGGAAAAAAAGGGGGGAGGGAATTCAGATATGAAAGCAAACAAACGCCACATACATTTAATAAATCTATACATTTAATACACTTAGCAATAAGTTCATCACTTTCTCAGGTCATTTCCTATCATTTGAGGATAGAAGAGACTTTGCAACTGAAATTGCAAAGCATTTAGAGGTACACCATTTCTTAGTTAACCATTTATATGGAAAAAAACTGCTCAAGATTAGGGCAGTAAAACTGATTATTAAAAATAAAACTCCATTTTGAGAAGATAAACACCCCTTGTTAAATAAGTAGCCTCTAAGACATAAGAGAAAGTACAACTCTTATTAAACCATTGTTGTTCTAAAGTTTTGCTGTCCCTACAACAGATATAGAAGTGTGTTCGATATGATCTAAGACCTCAATACTTTTAAAACACACATCCCAGTCCTCCTAAATTTTTAACATCTATGTACAGGTTGTAAATCCCTAGGGATGCTCGTGTTTCACATTAGTGTATTCATCCTCACTTGTGTTAACTTAAGCCAATGAACTTAATGGAGCATGACAAAAGCAACTGTTTATAATAATGTGAAGTTACTGTCAGGACATACAATCTTATTACAACATTAATAAAATAAGGTCTGTTGATGGAGAGATAAATGAAGTGAATAAAAAAAGGAAAGCTTTTGTTGTCTGTATTTCAATACCAACGAGCAATATCTAACCTTACAAATATGCTTATCTCTCCTGTTGCCTTGGGGTAAAAGGAGATAAACTAGCCCCATCTTTAAAAAAAACAACAACAAAAACCAAAAAACCCGGGGTGGTGGGGGAGGGGGGGTGGGAGGGACCCTGTAAAAAGAAGAGAACTTAAAGAATCAAGAGGACATCTGCCTTCTTTTGATATAATTCTCCATTAGTAATCATTTCTCAGTCATATTCTGCTTTCAAAAATCAAAGCCTAACTCCAGAATGTGACTGCTTCCCCTCAAAGTATTTCTAAAACCTGAACATTTTAAGAAAAATATTTACACAGTACATATTTAATCATCTAACTGCTCAAAGTATGAACTTAAAAGTTCTAAGCAAGTATGCAATGCCCAGTACTTACTGATTAACTGTAGATGAAGAAAGGGCAATAGCATTTTGGCTCCATCATCTAGCTCAACTGCAATCAATTAAAGAGATTCACGCAGAAAATGCAGATTCTAGATCAGTCCCAAAAAGCATATTTTGGGGTGAGCCTATCAACTAAAATAGTAAAAAAAAAAAAAAAAAAAAAAAAAAAATTAGCTTTTTGGTGGCACAGAAGTATATGGAAATAAAAATGACATAATATTATCACAAAACATAAAATTTATTTTTTTGTCCCTTGTGAATGAAAAGACAACAGTTCTCGGACAGCCTGACAATTCTAAGATTAAAGGACTGAATTTTACTTTTTCCCTAAATCTTAACTAAATTTCTGAATCTTAACCTAATAAGGTTAAGACCTCTCACTATATCACCATAGGAAAATGCCAAGTTTTTGGTATATCCTCACCATCAAAGAATCTTTATATGTTAAAGTGGTGGTAATTACTCACATTACTAAAAAATAAATCAGTAATACTAAAAAGATTATTAGAAACAACAAATTTAAAGCCGGCTCAGAAAAGGAATCTTAATGGGAAAACACACACACACACACACACACACACACACACACACACACACACACACGGAAACCTTTAACTGAAAACGAAAACAGAAAAAAACAAAAAAATCCGTTCCGTAAAACTTTCAACACAATGGAAGAATATTTTCTTAGTTGGACTGGAGGTTAAAAGCTACAAACGGTTCATGGTCTTGCACGAATTAAAAGTGAAGACATGATTAGGAAAAGCTACAAAATTTCGAGATGGTATTATCCTAGGCTTCAAGCACTGCATATTCGAGGGTCACCCTAGATCCTATGTGTTTTGTCGGATGTCCCAACCAGCAGCCTCGCCTGTCAGGAGCAACACGGCGATGAATCAAGTGACAAGAAAAGCAAACACACACTGAAACGTTATTTCCAAATTCAAACATGGAGAGGGAGTGGGAGTCCTGACTTACATACATGTCATGCAATTATCACGCTCTCCTTACCTTCACCGAGTATTTTTATTATTAAAAAAACAAAACACACATGCTGTCTCATTCAACTGCAGAGAACGGCACTTGGCCACCTCCACTCTCCAATCTACGCCGGGGAGAGGGTCAGAACAAAGTCTATTTTAGAGGACAAGAAGATCTAAAAAAAAAAAAATTTTAAGACTTCCGCAGAACTCAGTATTTTTAAAATAGGACAATTACTGCTTTTGCAGACGCATTTTAGAACTGTTCTTCGCCCGACTAGGACACTCTCTCCCCGCAGTCAGTCCTGTCCGTCCTTTTCAAGAGAGGCTGACCGAGATACTGCGGCCAGCACCCCCGACTGCCTCCGCAGGGGCCTTCAATAGCAGAGCTGGGACGAATCCCAAAGGATGGAAGAGTCTAAGACGCAAACAAGGTAAAAGAAAAAAAAAGGGGGGGGGGAGGAGGACGAGACCCGCCCAACTCTCTCCAGCCCACCTCTCCGTCACTGGACCGCATAAACCCTAAAAGGTAACAAAACAAAACAAAGCAAAAAAAAAGGAACACCACGAGAGAGCAAGTAAGGCTCCTCACTCTCCGCATTCTCAGGCCCAATTCTCCGCCGAAGCTCCCGGCCCACCCCACCCCCAGGGGTCCCGGCGCCATTTAGCTCCTCCGAAGCCGCCGCCATTTTCCGCCCCCGCCGGATCGCCGCTGCGCCTCGGCGGCCGCTCGCTCCCGCACTCTGTAGCCAGAGTCACCGCCGCGGGCCGGGCCCCGAGAGGGAGGCCCTGGCCTGAGCGTGCGGGGACGGCAGCCTCCGCGTCAGGAAGGCCCAGCTCCGACCCCGCCCGCGGTGCCCGGGCGCCCACAGCCTGCGCCGATCGGCGGGAGCAAGCTGGCAGCAAGGGGGCCGGACAGGCTCCACTGGGCGGAGCGGCCCTGGCGGCGGTTGGGACCTGAAGGTTCCATCGCACTTACTTCCTGTTTTGGGTCCGGGCACTTGGGAAGAACCAGGATGGAGGCTCCAAAAAATACCAGGATGGAGGAAGCAGCCACGGGCAAGAGTGGCTGCAGCTGGAGTGAGCGAGCGCGACGAGCCACCGGAAACGGAGCTACGGCCGCGCCCCGCCCCCGGCCCCCGCACGCTCCCCCTCCCTCTCTCCTCTCCCTGGGGACCGCTCGGCGCGTTGGTTGCTCGCGTCACTTCCGGCCAAGTCCGCGCGCGGAGAAGAAGTCCCGGGGTGTCGGCGCGTCGGTGCCCTTCTCTGGCAGTCGCCTGGGGTCCGCTCTTCTCTCTCACTGTGAGATCGCGGTGCCGACATTGGCTCTGCTGATGTTTGAAGGAGGAGGCCCACCTTTGTCGGGTGTGACTGTGGTCTGTCCCTCTGGCTCCGGAGCATTTGGACCCCCTGGCAGAGTCTCGTAAATTCCCGGGCTCCAGAGCCAGCCGGGTGTGGAAGGGATGAGAGCCGTGTCTGGAGGGGAAAGAAAGCCGGGCATTGTGTGGCCCTTCACGCTTAGGCTGCACTCCGGTGGGCGCTTGAAGGGAGGCGTGAACCTCTCTGAGCGTGGGATGCGGCTCGGGTCAAACCTCCTCCGCGGGTCGGGCGGGTGCTGCTCCAGCGCGCTGCCCGTCTTAGAGCTCCGCTTCTCGAGGCCGGCCGCTCTTCAGTTACGGGCGAGGCTTTTAGAAAGGACCAATATTTGGGACCATCCCCTAGGCCAGTCTTTCAGAAGCTCCGTGAGACCCTGGCAGAGACTTGGGCTTTTTGTTTGTTTGTTTAAGATTCTACTTGTTCATGAGAGACATAGGCAGAGGGAGAGGCAGGCTCCCTGCGGGGAGCCGGATGCGGGACTCGATCCTGGGATCCGGGTGATGCTCAACCACTGAGCCACCTATGTGCCTCTGTTTCAGGGCCTTGAAAATCTTGTGGTGGAGTGGTACGAGTCTGTTAACAACCCTATGATTCCGATCTCATTTTACTTGTCTATAAAACTAGATTTATCGTAGTCTTCTTTCTGTACTGGGACGACAGGAGTTTAAAAGTTAGACTTGACCGATGTTCTTGCTTCCAGCAACTGTGTAGACTCACACTACGTTGTCACAAGGGGAATGTAGTCAGCCTCAGTCGTAAAGGTCAAATAAAGGCTATGGAGAACGTAAATATGTACTCCTAAATTGGTCTTAAGTAACTAATGAGGTTAATAGTGCTTAATAATCACCGCCCCCCCCTCCCAATTATCTTAGCTTGTTTTGGTTTTTCTATGCAGTTGTTTCCTTTGACTACAAAGTATTGTTGACTTTGTGGAAGGGACAGTAATTCATCAAGGAAACTGTGGGGTGGTGGTAAAAAACATACTGAAATGGGGTTTAGAAACATAAATATTTACATTTTACATCAAATGTACATAGTTTTCAGCAGTAGTCCACATTACCGTGCTATTCTTTGGGGTAAAAGAATTTCTCAGTCATAAACGTTGGGTTTCACAAAATGAGATACTGTTATATGCCTATTAGCATGACTAAAATAAAAACCACAGATAACACCAAATTCTTGTGATGATATGGGACAGGAACTCTCATTAATTGCTAGTAGGAACGCAAAAAGTCATAGTCATTTTGAGAGGCAGTTTGGCAGTTTCTTACAGAACTAAACAATTTTACTGTACGATCCAACAGTTGCTCCTTGATATTTATGCAATGAGTTGAAAAGTTACATCCACATAAAAAGCCTCAAACTTGTAAGACACCAAGATGTACTTCAGTAGGTGAAAGGATAAATTGTGGTACATCTGTACAATACATTATTATCTAATGCTAAGAAGAAAGGAGCTGTGAAAGACATGAAGGAAGCTTAAATGCATATAACTAAGTAAAATAGGTCTGAGAAAGTTACATACTGTGTGATTCAAGCTATATGACATTCTGGAAAGGGCAAAACAGTAGACAGTAAAAAAAAGATCAGTAGTTGCCAAGGCTTGGGGCTGGAGAGAGGAATAGATGGAGCAGAGGATATTTAAGGCAGTGAAATAATTCTCTGATACTAACATGGTAGAAAACATACAAGTGCTTCTACATTTATCAAAACCCACAAAATGTACAGCACCAATAATGAACCCTAATGTGAACTGTGGTCTTTGGATGATGATGATGTGTCGTTGTTGGTTTATCGTTTGTAACAAATGTACCACTCTGGGTGACAATAATGGAGGAGACTACGCATGTATAGAGCAACTAGTACATGGGAAGTCTGTATCTTTCTCTCAGTTTTGCTGTGCATCTTAAACTACTCTTTAAAAAAAGTCTGCTTGAAAAAGAATGAAAGGGTGAAATAAGCCTCTGGATTTGGACAATATAGCCAGCAGTTTTTGAGTGCTTATGTGTCAAATGCTTTACATGTATGAAACTCATTTAATGTTCACAAATGCCAGATGCATCACTATAGTTACTACCAACGAATCCTATTTTAGACAACCAAAAAATGAAAAGATGTCCAAGCGCACACAGCAAAGAAGTGACAGAGTCAGAATTGAAGCCTCAGCCCCTGAGCCTATGCTCTGAACTATTACTCTTTTGCATTTCACAAAGTACACATTGGCAACAGTCTTTTTATAATGAAAGCAAGTTATTTCAACCAGTTTCCAGTCTTTACTCAACTGGAAGATGGACATGTTTGACCAATTTTCAAAATAAATAAGTGCTAAGCAGCATTTTATTACATCAGCTTTATTACCAGTATGTGATACTCTATATCCTATTTGGGTATTACATATATCATTCAATTTTTAAATGGGTACAGGAGTATGCATCTTGGCGTTATTGCTTAGTAGTAGGTATAGTAATTCACTGCTCAACTTCATTTGCCTTCAAATTATGGGAATAATCTAATCTACCTCCCAAAATACTGTAGACATGCTTTGCACAGAGCCTAATGTGTAGTAATAAGCACCTAAACTAGAAAAGCAATTACTCTCAGAGTAGTTCTAATGAAATAATTACATATGTAAAATTGTTAACATTAACATTTATGAGGAAGTAGTCCCTAATTAGCTGCATTTCTCATAAAGCACAAGCATATAGGATTCTTTTTCACCAAGGCATAACAGTGTAGCATCTAAATTATAGTCTGACTGTCTGTTATCCCCTGCAAAATTTTGCAGCCTGCACTCTGCTGCACTCTGCTGCACTCTGCTGTTAATTCCCTGAAAAAAATCAAGCCCATCCTTATAATTCTCCCTTTCTGGATGAGTTTCTTTCATAACCACCTTTTCAAAAGTCAGTTGGTATTTACTTGGGGAAGACAAATGTATTTTAATATTTAATACATAATTCTAAAAGCAAATTCATCATTTATGATAAAAACAAGTTAATATAGAAGGAATGTACCTCAACATAGTAAAGACCATATGTGACAAGCCTATAGCTATCCATAGCGGTGAAAAGCCAAAAGCTTTTTCTCTGAGATCAAGAATAAGACTGAGGGCAGCCCAGGTGGCTCAGCGGTTTAGCGCTGCCTTCCACCCAGGGCCTGATCCTGGAGACCCGGGATCGAGTTCCACCTCGGGCTCCTTGCATGGAGCCTGCTTCTCCTTCTGCCTGTGTCTCTGTCTCTGTCTCTCTCTCGCTCTCTGTCTCTGTCTCTCGTGAATAAATAAAATTAAAAAAAAAGAATAAGACTGAAATACCCACTCTTCCCACTTTTTTTTCAACCTAGTATTTGAAGCCCTAGCCACAGCAATTAGGCAAGAATAGGAAGTAAAAGGCATCCATATTGGAAAGGAAGAAGTAAAACTATCTGCAGATAACATGGTATTATATGTATAAAATCCTAAAGACTGTCAAAAAACTTTTAGAATTAATAAATTAATTCACTGGGCAGCCCTGGTGGCGCAGCGGTTTAGCGCCGCCTGCAGCCCCGGGGTGTGATCCTGGAGATCCGGGATCGAGTCCCACGTCAAGCTCCCTGCATGGAGCCTGCTTCTCTCTCTCTCCCTCTCTCTCTCTGTCTCTATGAACAAATAAATAAAATCTTAAAAAAATAAATCAGTAAAATTGCAGAATACAAATCAATACATAAAAACTGGTTGCATCTCTATACACCAATAACAAAGTATCAGAAAGAGAAATTAAGAAAACAATACCATTTACAACTGTATTAAAAAAGAATAAGATATGTAAAAATACATTTAACCAAGCAGGTGAAAGACCTGCGTGTTGATAACTATGAAGCATTAATGAAGGAACATGAAAAAGACAAATAAATGGAAAAATATTCTATGCTTATGAGTTGGAGGGATTAATATTATTAGTGTCCACACTACTGAAAGCAATATACAGATTCAACGAAATTCCTTAAAAATTCTGATGGCATTTTTCACTGAAATAAAAGAATTCTAACATTTGTGTGGAATCACAAAAGACCTCACATATCCAAAGCATTCTTGAGAAAAAGGAACAAAGCTGGAGACATCATGTTCTTTGATTTCAAATTGTATTATAAAGCTATATTAAAACAGTATAGTACTGGCATTAAAAACAGACACATAGATCAAGAGAACAAATAGCCCAGAAGTAAACCCATACTTATGTGGTCAATTAATTTATGACAAAGGAGCCAAGAATATACGTAATGATGAAAGGATGGACTCATCAATAAGTGGTACTGGGAAAACTGGGCAGCCACATACAAAAGAATGAAATGCCCACTATCTTACATCATATATAAAAATTACCTAAATCACATTAAATACTTGGGCATAAGACTTGAAACCATAAAACTCCTGCAAGAAAACATAAGCAGTAGTCTCCCTGACAGAGATGTTGGTGGTGATTTTTTGAACCTGACACCAAAAGCAAAAACAACAGAAGCAAAAATAAACTGGTCTACCTCAAACTCTAAAAAGCTTCTGTACAGCAAAGGAAACCATGAACAAAATGAAGAGGCAACCTGCTGACTTGAA